AGATGATGGCTATATGTACAGACACATCTGTGTCTGTACATAAAAATTAATTCTTACTGATTGACACCTGGACTTTATCTGATTTTTATAGCCACGGACATCCTCTAAATCTAAAGGTGCTGTCAATACTTCCTGAAAATATACAAACAAACACATTTCAATCATCCACTTACAAATGTGGTGCAGTAAAAAGGCTTCTTCAAAGTGAACCTAAACTAGAAAAATACAAAACAGAAGAATACCTTAAGTGGACATAAAGTATTTTGAACTAAGGCCGTCATGAAATATAAAAAAGCAAGTAATGTTAATAGAAATAAATTGGCCAATGGTATTAATAAATCATTGCAGCCATCTTAAATCAATTTTAAAGATCATATTCAATACCAAGAGCTCAAGGTTAGTTATACTTCCATTATGCTGCACAATCATTAAGCATGATGTCACTTTTTTTGCCTCTTTTAATAACCTTTTAATTTGGATGTTAAACAAGAAGAAAGCATACCACTTCATTCAAAGAGAACTGTTTTCCCTGAGCAATTATGTCTCCATTTATTGCTATCTTTGATCTGCCATCAAAATACAGTCTGTCTCCATCACAGCCAATCTGGTTGGCAAACAAATATATGCCACCACTCTGTAACAGATAAGAAAAAGAAATAATTAAGGATATTCCTTGTGTTCAGAGATGGAATATTTTTATTTGATACAATCCAAACATATTCAAGTGTATCCTATAGTTTGACTTCCCTTGTCATTGGTGAATAACAAATACATGCTTATTGACACAAGACTATATTCAGTTAAAGAAAAACTGGGAGGTACATACCTTATATGTTGCACTTTTTACCAAGTCTACACTTTCATAGGCCTTCCCAAGTTGATGGTGACTTGCACTTCCATTAGTAAATATTTCCACCCCATCCAGGCCCATAGCTACATGTCGACTGCATCAAAAATGTTAAAGTCATAATATAAGAATACTACAAATTTCACCCTGAGTTATATCGTGTTATGTATTTCCTTACACAGGCACTCACATTGGGTCATATCTTGATATTTACCAACAGTTTATTTCTGTTCATTTGTTGAAATTAAAGATATTCATGAATGGATATCTAATTAAAAGTAACTTTTAAAACATCTGCTGGCAACCTTGTGACAAAGGCTGAGATATACACTGACAAAGAAAGTTGAAATAATCTTGTACCTACCCAGGCCCGTAGCCAGCAATTTCAAAAGGGGGGTTCTTTTTCTGAAAAAGTGCACCTTTTTCCATAAAAACTTCATGAACCTAGATCAAATTTTACCCAGAGTGGACCTTTTCCCACCAAAAGGGGTGGTTCTTTCGAACCCCCCGAACCCCCCCCTGACTACGGGCCTGCTACCTTTCTGCTGTCCACAACTCCTCACAAATCTCACTGCCTATACAAGTATCTAAGGTTGATAAGACTGCATCCCCAATTGGTACTGTTTGCTTTGATACAAATACAAGGTAATTACAAGGTAAAATTAAAAGAACGAAAAAAAACTGAGCAAAAATGCTCATTAGCTTGATAGTTGGATCATAAATGAAAATTATCAAACACAAGCAAAATACTTTCATACCATTAGCTTAATTACAGCCAACCTGGCCTTCATTAGACTTCATTTATGAACCAAAAAATCTGTAACCTTAACTGAGCTGAAACCTGGATGAAATATTTTATGCATTCAATGATACACAGTATAATACACTTGGACTTGATTCTGAGACATTTCCTTTAAATGTACTTCAAGCCAATTGTTCGCCATCTTACCTGCCCTGTTATTTCTTGGATCATGCAAGGGAGAAAATATTCTTCTGTCTGCTGAAGTTTAGCCCAGCCAGTGAAGTAACGATACTCCCTATAGTTGCCATCACATGCCAACTGAATTTTAGGTCTTATCAACAGGATTTTCCTGTCAGATATAACAAAATCATTATGAACTAAAGGATCAGAGAGGTAATATACCTCCAGATATTGTACCACCAGCTGAAGTCAGCGCATTCGTATGGAAAACCAAAACAAAGGGAAGCCTGGTGACCACCAGTGTTGTGCTCGACAGGATAAGCTGTTGCACTACAGTATAAGATAGCCTACAATGAGTTTTATGTTAATTCTACCTTCTCTCTTATACTCGTCCACAATTTGAATTAATGTGTACATATTGCAATATATTTTTATGTTGGTAATAGGTAGAGCTATTTGGAAGAACGGTTCCAAGCTGGTGACCAAAGGTGGCAAAAAGTAGTTTTGAGGTAAGAGCGATAAAAAGCAAAATAAGGAAAAAAGCAAATCCCAACATTTATTAGAGCCGAATTTATTAAATGACAAATTGTATTAAGATTGTTTCTGTTAACTGCCAGGGCCTTGGGGATAGACAAAAAAGAAAAGACATATTTTTATATTTAAGACAACAAAAAAAAATGATATTCTACAGTATGCCTACAAGACACACATTTTACGGCAGAAATGGAAGCAAAGGTTAGGTCCGAGTGAGGAAATAAGGCCTATTTTAGTCTGTACAGGTCTAACTCGAGGGGTGTTGCTATACTTTTAAATAGCACTGCTGATGTTAAAGTAATTAATGAAAAAAAAAAAAAGACGATGCAGGTAACTTTATATTACTAAGAGTGCATTCTCAACAAATTAAGCCAGGCTTTACAAAGCCGGTGACCTAAAAATGGCGGACGTACATGAAAGAAAAACCGCCTAATCTTTTAATAGTCTCTCCGCCTCCCCACACATCGTCCCTGCGGGGTACAGTAATTAAATCNAATGAATCAACTATCTACGGAGATAATATCACCAGAGATATTCACGGAAATATTAATGTTCAGAGCCGAGATTTAATTACTGTACCCCGCAGGGGCGACGTGTGGGGAGGCGTGTGAGAGGCGGAGAGACTATTAAAAGATTAGGCGGTTTTTCTCTCATGTACGTCTGCCATTTTTAGGTCACCGGCTTTGTAAAACCTGGCTTAATTCGTTGAGAATGCGCTCTAAATTTGATTCTTCCGACTTCTATAAACAGATAGAAATGGTGCTACAGGACACAGATAATGAGTACTCTATTATCTGCGGTGATTTCAACTTGGTTTTAAATCCAGAAATAGATTATGATCAGACACATCGACATATAAATGACCCAAAAGCAAGAAAAAAGTATTGGAACATATTGAAATTTATGATTTAGTTGATATTTATAGAGAACAACATGAATGTCATAAGAGATATACTTGGAGGAGAAAAAAAAAACATTAAACAAGCGAGACTAGATGTTTTCCTTGACAGAAAATCTTTTAAGAAGTATTAAAAATTCATATATTGAATCAAGTTATAGATCAGACATTGTGGGGATAAATATTGAATTTAACCCATTTAGGAAAGGTAAAGGGATATGGAAATTTAACAATTTTCAGCTTGATGATTTAGAATATATTGACAATATAAAACAACTTATTAATAATATAAAAAGCCAGTATGCACTTCCTGTCTATAACCTATATAATATACCTACTCAATTTCAGACAGTTTACCATAAATGATCAACTCTTTTTTGAGACCCTACTTATCAAAATCAGGGGCAAAACCATTTCTGTTTCATCTTATAAGAAAAAACTAGTTGACAACAGAGAAAAAACTTTGATAACAGAAAGAAGTAATTTGGAAAGAAATTACAAGAGGAACTAAAAAACATCAGGGAAAATCAAATAAGGGGTAGCATGATAAGATCCAGGGCAAAGTGGTTGGAAGAGGGCGAAAAACCTACTAAATATTTTTTAAACCTAGAAAACCAAAATTTCACTTCAAAAATAATACCTAAGATAGTTAAAGATAATGGAGAAGTAATTACAACCCAAACACTAATTTTAAAAGAAATTAAATGCTACTATGAATAGTTATTTGCAGAGTCTAATAAAGTGACTGATGTTGATTTAAGTACAATTATTAAGTACAATCCTACCGCACAATTATCCATCGAGGCTCAAAGATGTGGAGTCAAGTGAACTATAGGGTGTTATTTGTCTAAATGAAGCCTCCAAAATTCTGAAAACAAAATGAAAAGTAACAAGAGTCCAGGCTCAAATGGGTTCACTGTCCAGTTCTTTAAAGTATTCTGGCCACAGCTCGGCAATTTTGTTGTTAGATCCATTAAATTGGGTTACTAAACTGGTCAACTTTCAATTACACAGCGTCAGAGTGTAATCATGTATCTCCCTAAGGGTGAAAAGTCCAAGCAATACTTGAAAAACTGGAGACCGATCTCTTTGTTAAATGTAACCTATAAAATAGCCTATAAAATAGCATCCAAAGTCAAGAAATACCTGGGCAAACTTATTTCAGACAACCAATGCGGTTTTATTTCCGGGAGATATATCCGGGAAAGTATCCGTACTGTATATGATATTATGCAATACAGAAAAGATAATGATATTCCTGGACTGAAAGTGGTATTAGATTTTGAAAAAGCTTTTGACGCTGTAACGTGGAAATTCATAAACAGAGTACTAGTTTTTTTTTAATTTTTAAATTTTGGTGAAAGTATTATCAAATGGACAAATACTTTCAATATAATAAAGGTGCCCAAGCAGCAATAAATCAAGGAGATAATCTCTCAGAGTCCTTTTACATTAAAAGAGGCTGCAGGCAGGGAGACCCAATAGCCCCCTATTTTTTATTTTATGTGCAGAAATACTTTCAAGAATACTCAAGAATAACAAAAATATAAAAAGTATCACTATTGATAACACCCCTATTTTATTACTCAATATGCAGACGATACGACTGTGATGCTTGATGGCTCAGAAAAGTCTTTATCTGAACTAATGACTGAATTAGAGAAATTTTCAAAAATATCAGGATTGAAAATCAACAAAGATAAAACAAAAATAGTATGGATAACACGTATGAAGTTCAGAAATTTAAAATTTTTGCCACATATGCATCTTGATTGGGGAAAGTATCAGTTTAATCTTTTGGAAATCGATTTCATGTTGATCTATTTCAAATCCCCAAACTTAACTCTGATAAGAAATTAGTAAAAATTAAGTCTAAGCTTAAAGTATGGAACAGAAGAATGGTCACCCCCATCGGCAAGTGTATGATTATAAAATCCTTAATAATTTCTCAATTAAATCATTTGTTTATATCCTTACCAAATCCTAGTCAAAGGTTTATCAATGACCTTCAAAGTGATCTCTTCCACTTTTTGTGGAACTCAAAGATTGACAAAGTTATGCGCGATATAATTATTAAAAATTATGATGAAGGTGGTATTAAAATGATACACTTGCCTTCACTAATATCCTCACTAAAACTAACTTGGATTAGACATTTTTACAACAAGAAAAAAATGGCAAATTATCGTCGATAAATATCTGAATGTTGAACTTAATTCTGTCCATGGGTGGGTGATGATGAGTATTTGAATAAATGTCTAAAAGTTTGCCGAAACCGGCTCTGGGGGGATGTGTTACTTGCATGGAAAGAACTCAGCTAGGGTCAAGGAAGATAAGTTAAGGGGGGAAAGCAAGTCTGTGTTGAACACCCCTGTCTGGGTATAATGAAGCACTAAGAGTAGACAGTAAGGTAATATACTATAAGCATTGGTTCAATAAAGGTATATCTACAATAAAAGATTTTATAAAAGACGCTAAAACATTTACCTTTTTCTCACAAGAATAAATAACTAGGCGATACGGTATCCAGACCAACTTCCTAGAATATCAAGGGGTGGTAAGCATTATTAGGCAATACTCGAGCTTGCATGACATAAACGAATTGGAAGAAATGCTCCCTAAACTCCCAGAGTATTTAAGTATCTTCTTTTAAAGTAAGAAGGGCTGTCATACTTAGTAAGAATACTTAACTCCAAAGGGCAAAATAAATTGAAATAAATTGTTCAATATTAATGACAAAGAGTGGTCAACTAGAGGANTCCATGATAGGTATATTTTATTATTAAAGATTGATGGTCATTATGCTGTTAACCAATATGTAATATTGCAACAGAATAGAAGAAAACAATTATGGGTGCTGCTGCCATGATGACCATTATGGGAAAACCATGTTACTTATGTTTGCCAAATGTTCAAAAAAAAAAAAATAATAAATAAAAAAAAATGCAGGACTAAAATGCAGCCTGAGTTGGAAAAGTAGTCTTATTGGCTTCTTTTTTTGGATGTTATACATTTTCAAAGTGTGAACTTGAACTCCCATGGGCCTGAAGCCTTATGCTTGTTACACGTTTTACTTACATTGGTATTACCTGTTCAGCATAATTAAAATTTGATGTTGAATTTGCAGTTTAACATAATGTACTTTTGCATCAGAATTGACAGTAGCCTATTTTGTGCATAGTTATTTCCTGCTTTTTGTCTGTACATTTGACAGCTTTGCTGCCTTGTTACTTATTCTCTCACATTTCAAGATGGCTTTGTGGGACAACATAATAAGTGGCATGAAATAGTCAGGTGAATAAGATAAATGGGGGTTTCAAAGATAATTAAGATATTATCAAATCACCTGCAAGTCATGACCTCTAGCTTGTCTAATAGCACCTCAGAGATATCAAGGTATCAAGACAGCAAGTCATTCTCTCTATTAAGGACTCAAATCTTTATTACATTCTGTATTTCTGTTTATTTGATGCTTTTAACTGTCCAAAACATCTACTTTGCTATTTGTTAAATCTAAGTAGACCATTTTATAGTGCTTAAGCCTAAATACTGTACAGTTATGTGTATAGTAAGCATTCCTCAGTCCATGTCATTTGCATTTTTTCAAAATATAATGTGCCTGCCTTTTTTTCTCATTGTCTTTCACATTTTACACTTTCAAAATCAATTTTTTTTTTGATGCAGCAGCAAACCTTAGATCTTAACACCCCAATTTTTCTCTTGGGTGATCTTTTTAGCTTCCTAACAGAAATTAAAATCTTTCAGTTTTTTCACAACAAAACCAGTATTTATTGTTTATAGGCTTTAAACATATTTAAGTATGTACACAACATAAGAACGGAGAGAACATGCTAACAGTTTTAAGTGATGATATTTGTCTGTGTTACAAGCAGAAGCATATAAAAAATACATCAGTGTTGCAGTGCAAATACTTGTATGGTAAGCCTTTCATATTCATTGACCCACATATTGCATATCACCACTTTTGCAAATATAGATTCACGGAGCGTGTCAGCCTGTTTTGTTAAGATTGGCCCTCAAAATTCCATTCAGTTTTCCAGCCAGAGACAGTGTACCTTTGCCATTAAAAGTTACCACAACCCAGTTTTTTCAAGATATCTTGCCTAGAACCAGGGTTTGATAAAAATATTGTATTGCAGGGTTGTATTGATCTTTGAACCAGTTGAAATTTGCATGCTGGTATATGGTACCATTCACCTGAGGTTTGCAGTGTATATCTTTTCTGATTCACTAAACAGTAATGTACAATAGGTGATGCTTATAGATATGATACCTATGTAAAGCCATAAAAGCAGTCTTATTTAAAAAATTCTTCATTTATTCAACATGCTAACAGAAATATATATTGAAAAAATAATAAAGTAGACATAAATGAACAAGTAAGAAATGATAATAATGAGAGAAGAAAAAAAAACGTATTGAATTTGACAGTTTTCTGCATATTTCTGTCTATAATTCATCAGGTATTTTGTGGTATTCATCAGATATTTAATGGTATTTTATTTAACACTCAGAATGCATGTTTCATAGGCCAGATTAGTGCTTCAACAAGATTGCTTAAACTTGTTGCAGTTGGTGAAACTGTGTGCAGGAAATATTGTATTTAAAAAACAATACACTACAAATGCATTACAAAATAAGGTAAATAAGAACTTTTGTACTAAAGACTGAAATTCTGCAAAACTTAGGAGAAAACATCAGAAAAATAACCATAGATAAATTGTCAGCTTTTAAGGATTGATGCACCACAAGCACTACTGGAAGCCTGCCATTATTTCTGACCCCACTCTCTTCCAAATCTCACAAAATCAAAATCCCAATGGTCACATTTTGTCCCTTCTCAAACTTATGCTGAAATGAAATGTTATATACTGTGACATATTGCTAGGAATAAGGTACCCGTGTTGACTCAGCTGCCAGATAACAAACAGAATGATTAGTTGTTTTGTCGCTGTTGTTAGAATGTTGTGTGCGTAATCCTGTGAATAGATGTAGAGAGAACTCTCATCATTGCACAAAAGCTTCATTGACTTTCTGATTAAGTGCCACAGGTTTAAATGTAGGATGGTTGTCAGTCTCTCCCAGTTTAAATGCTCGATGATAGGAATAGCTTAGCTACAGTTGTCTTAATTTTTGGACCATGAATAAAAAAAATTGCATTTATGCCAATAGCCATTTTTATTTTAAACTTGTCACTTAATAGATACAAATTTGTTTTGATAAAGTATTTATTTAAAATTTGATGGACTACAAGAAAAGCTAGCATGATTCCACAAGGCATGTATTTGCCAGCATTTTTTGTTATGGCAACAATTTAACAGGTTGATTGTACAGGTTTCTTTTCCAGACTCATTATATTTTATAAAGTCTTGATATTCAGTTTGAGCTTTAATTTGCGAAGATTGAATAGATTTTTTTGCCAATATTTTTGTAATTATGATAAACTAACCTCGTGCAGTCATTTAAAACAATCTCTTCACCAGCCTTTTTTCTTGCTTAATTGTTGAATTACTGTGGATTACTGGTGCTATTGATTATACTATCTTATGAGCTGAAGGCAATGAAAAACCACATTTGAGCCTAGAGAGAGAAATGACGGTATTGATTCAGAAGAAATCCAATCCTGGTTCAGCCATTTCAGTGTCTCAGGCACCCACATTGTCTGGAGTTTGACAAGCCAATGGTGCAGCCATTTCTAAAATAACAGTCCTCTGAGGTTATCCAATATAGAACTATTGACATTCACAGTATGATAAATGCAGAATGGGATTTCCAAAGACAATGTTATTATTGGACCTTGCATGTTTTCTTGAGATTTGTAATACACTTTCCGGGGAAGGTGATTTGTCTAGTTGACCAAATAAAATAGCAATGAGGATGATATGGATTTTCTCAGAATTTCCTAAGCTTGCTTTCACAACAGAAAATTACAGTGTTATTAACTGAGCTGTAACCCAGTGTTAGTTTTTGTGAATTCCTGTAACAGGTGAAGAATCATGAACAGAGCATGTAAACCTATCTTTTGTAATTACTTTGTAAGTTAAGGTTTTGGCAAATTTATGGTTTGCAGCCACACATCCAGATTTTCTGTAATTTCTTAGAAATATATATATGTTTTGCACTCTTCTTGGTTATCTTGTTTTCCTTGGTGCATATTTTATGGCCAATTGGAATTTTTAATACTGTCATTTTTCAACAGATGTTAGTATTTCATATGGAGAATTTGCCAGTTGCTGGAAGCAATATACTTAGGTCATAGGTAATAAAGAAAATAATATGTTTCAGTTTAAATTGGTTAATATACCAAGTGAATGTGCCTAAAAAATTTAAATATGTATATGATTATGAATTATTAACTAACAGTAATCTAAGTAAGCAGTTGTGAAAATTTAATGACAAGAAAATAAAATGCTTAACTAGATCCACAATGGGACCAAAAATGTTAAGATTTTAAAAAATAAAAACCTTTCTCAAGTTATACGACTAATAAGAGGAAACATGTTTGAAAAAGTAGTGTGTGCATTCGTGTATGAAGAACTACCCTAGATTGAATACTGTGGCATACCAACATTCCCTGGATACACAGGGACTTTCTTTCATGTTGATAATCTCTTTATTTGCTTACCAGTCCATTTTCCTATGTGACCAGTGGTCCAAAGTTGACTACACTGTGCTCTATGTGGTCACCATTGAATGTTCTGTAACCTCTGTATATTTTATGAGTTAATAGTTTGATAAGGCTCATTTAAACTTGCTTATAACATATGTTCATATGAGAACTTTTATTTGGCACCGTCTGTTACTCTACAATAGCTATGAATACATATATTCACTTCTGAACGTAATGTTTTTATCAATGTCAACCTAAGTGAAGCAGGGGATTTACTATGGTAACTGTATTTAATGTGCTCTTTTTTTTTTTTTTTTTTTGTGAATTTGCACAAAATTTATGGGCAAGGTTATGACAATTCACTTATTAGTTTATTTAATTTTAACCCTGTTTAAAGATGCATATAATTTAAAGCCAATTTTTTTGCCATGAAACCAGACCAAATGCTACCACATAGTTCTAAAAAGCATAAATTAAAGAAGTGGCGCTTAATATTTTCTAATATTTATTTATTATGTAATTTTTTTCCTTTCACCAGAGATAGCATATGGAGTGTGCTGACAGGTGCTGCATCAGATGATTTGTCCAATATGCTGTTGCATGATATTCGTGAACTAGAAACTTGGATTTTGAGACTACTAAGTGCACCTGTGCCAGTTCCTGGAAGAACAAGAGTGGAGGTGAGATAAATAAACAAACAAATAAACATAATGAAAAAACAAGAACTGCATGTGGAAATGTCATGTGTCTGTTTAAACATGCTTTTACTCTTTTTATTTCTTTCAAGTGAGGCATACCAACATTGCGTGGGATGCACATGATCTAGACAATACCACGAATTTGATGTATTATGTGTCATTCCAAGGTGCCTTTTGCACTACAAAAACGGTATCATGGGGCAGCTAGCCCACATAATCAATACTGAGAAACCAGCTCTTGCTGTGCTGTAAAAATGGCATATTTTAGATGGTAATTTCCATTGCAGGAAGTCTGCTGTGTGATGGAAAGTATTTTATTGATCACCTTAAGCCAACAAATTGCTCTATGCCATTGACATTCATTATGTGATAAAGCTCTTTCATTCTGTTCTTCATAGAATTGTCATGAATAATGTAATCAAACTGACCTCATATTCACATGAGTTGATATCCCTGGCATCCTACAGATAATTACTGGCTTTTAAAAAAGGAAATTAAGAGATAATGTGAAACAAAAGGAAATGAAAGTCTAATGATTTGAGTGCTTAAAAGTGATTTAACAAGACATTTTACATGAAGAAGTAATCACACCAAGGGTATTTATATTTATTTCAACTCTAGGTGACCTCCTTATTTGTCAACAATAGTGGTACAACATATGAACAAGTTAAGTAATCCCTTGATGTGTTTTGTTTCATTCCAGGTTGATATTCTTCCCCCAGAAATGTCAGCCCCTATGGTGTTTGCACTGCCTGATCACACCCGCTTTTCCCTGGTGGACTTCCCACTCCACCTACCACTGGAGTTACTGGGGGTGGAAACTTGCCTCAAAGTGCTGGCTTGTATTATTCTGGAAAATAAGGTACAGATAAAATCATTGTGACAGACAGGAATTTTTTCAGAATTTTTACACATGTATTGTACACATGTATTGAAAAACATTGTGAGGTTTCCACCCCTGCTTTTAGCTTTTAGGTAGATGATTTCCTTTTTAAAAAAGGAAAAAAAAGCATTACAGCTTTCAGATCAAACTGCATATTGATATCTAGTGAGAAAGATACTGTATTTGAGATTGCATCATATTGCAACTGCGTCAAATATTGCCTGTGGCTGTCTCTCCAGCTCTTATGAACAAGTTTGAATATATTTACTTCCACTAAGACTTAAACCAATGCCACAAGGGTGAAAATGGAAGATCTAAGGTGGTTGGAATTGATTTTTAAAATCTTGAACATAAACAACTGACCAGTAGCCAGTCATTTTTTTGGTCATCCGAATGGTGTTAATCATGTTGAACTATTATGAATTATACGTAGATACAACATACAGCAACATACAAAATTGCAAGTCCAATATGACTAAGCCAAAACCATTGAAGTTTTACATAAACAAGTGTTTTGTTCCATATCAGAAAAAGCTTAGAAATACGCCGTCAATTGATGTAGTTTTTTTGTAATTTTTTTAATTAGTTCTTATTATTTATTTTGCACAGGGTGATCAGCTTCACTACTTCCATTTCAAGTTATGTTCCAGATATATTATGAATTGCACACATGCACACACAGTTGTTTATAAGTAATTGATATTCAGAACAAGTCCAATATGAGGAATGCATAAGTTAATTTACCGCTATATGCTGAACACCATACCAACTGAAAAATAGGACAAGCTGTTTAATGCTAATTCTTATAAGTTACGAGTCCTTCTTTATTATGAGTTAAATTTATTATCAAGCAAATCAAGGAAGAATGGTATTATTAAAGAGACCTTTGGGTTGGGTGCTGCTTATTAGGATAAGTCATAAACTAAGCTGAAATTATTTGCACAAAACCCTTTTTTCATGTAAATAATGTTTGTAAAGAAATTTTTTCTAGCCTCAACATGGTTTGAATGGTTTGTTTGGTAATAAACATGGTAAAAGAAAGATTATGTATAATCTTTTGAAGTTTTAAAGTTTATTACTTTGAGTTGGAGACCAAGCAACTGTTTAGGATCACATTCTTTTTCATGACTACAAATACATGTTTTTTTTTTTCATGATTTCAGATAATTTTACAATCTCGTGACTACAACGCCCTTACTATGAGTGTGATAGCCTTTGTGTCTATGTTATACCCCCTGGAGTACATGTTCCCTGTGATACCACTACTACCTACATGTATGGGGTCTGCAGAACAGGTATTTTGAGACTTTTATTAATAATTTTATTTTTGTCTTTTCATATCTTGTGGTGGAAAAACCAGCTGCAACCTGCATCTGTTTGATGCTGCAAAGAAAAGTTTTGCAGGGGGGAAAAAAGTAGTTGAATGCCACCCCCACCCCCCTACCCCCAGCAATATTGACAATTCTATAATCATGTAAATAATGGCAATTTGAAACAGTATGGATTTATCTTATGCAACATTTTATTATAGTTTGTTCTTTATTTTAACAAACTATAACATTCCCTATGATACCACTACTGTCTATATGTATGAGGTTTGCAGAGCAGTTATGCAGTTCCTAGTAAAAGGTCAATTTATCTAACCAACCCCCACATCCTGAAAGGAAACTCAAGTGCATAAAATACGATATGTATACTTTAACCACACCAAATGTTAAAACTCTGCCCCTGCTGCCTGTTTATCTCAACTAAAAGTGCTTTATCTTTTTCACATAAACAGGATTTCATGTCACCCAAGGTCAACAACGGCACCATTACTTTATCTTCTGTCCAAGCAGTATTGATTTTTATCATTATCTATGTAGAATATTCTGAAAGTACGACCAAGATATAACAGTGAATGATTTATATTTGTGCTGTATCCTTATTCTTGCTCTGAGATTGAACTATGTGTTACATTTCTATGATGCATTTGGTGGTAGGGGAATAATATGGTATCAGAGTAATAAAAATGCAGTGACCTTTCTATCAAATATTGATGTCCTGTCATTGAGAGGAGTGCTTCAAAGGCATAGGTTTCATTCAGTTTACTAGTTTCTCACAACACAGGGTGTTAAATTTTTTTGGTCTGTGATTAAATTAAAAGCAGCAGACGGCCCAATGTTTGCTCCACCTGCATAGTATGTACTTTGTTTCATTTGCTGCTGTTTAGGACATAATGAAGAGTATTAACCCATTTTAAGTGAATTTCTTCTCATTTTATCTTTTCCATTAGACATAATGTCTTCCTAAGGCTAGATGTTGGCATTGATTATGCTCTGTGCTAAGTGATAAGATGTAGACCTCACATTTTTTAATACTTGATAATCTGTATTTCACAGGAAGTACACACTTTTCATTGGGAATTGTTTTGTGTCCAATTTATTAATTTTGAATTAATAAGCTTGCTTCTTAATAAAGCAGCAGAAAATGCTTTTCATTGGGATTATGTTCCTCCTTTATTGGCAATCAATATCATATCTGTGAAAACCTCTGGACTTGAGTGCTTGCACAAGATTATCGCAGTTGTAGCTCCCAGAAACCGTACACTTAAAAATCCAATATCTGGTTATCTTTGCAGTGATAAGATTTTCAAGTGATCGCTAAATTAACTTTAGAGGAAGTCTCAACTTTGATAAGAATTGAATTCAAGTCGATAAAAGAATGGATTTTCCTGGTTTCTTGGAGCCGAGATAAGAAAATTCCTTACTGAATTGGACCAATTGTAATTAATCATTTGCCCCCTCCCCCCCACCCCACCCCAAAAAGAAAAAAAAATCAATGTTTCATTATTAAATGCCACAAAGTGAGCATTTAAAAGATTCAAAAATTGAGTTGGGTTTATGTCAGGAATGATGTTCATATGAGCAGTATGTTGAAAATGAGACATTGAAATTGTGATTACTGTAATAATACAGAAAATATCCCCATTTCACTCCTCCTCTCTTTTGGGAATCTTTTACAATTGATATTATATATTTATTCCCAAATCGGCAACGGTTTTAGTACTATTGATTTACTGTTAGTACCAATATAAAAAAAGAATTGAAACAATGTAGCTCAAGATTTGGAATTGTTTTTTTTGCAAATTTGTTTTAAATGTAAAGAATCATTGATTTGATACTGATCCTCTCTCTTACTCTTTTTTTATTGTTTCAGTTGCTATTGGCACCCACTCCCTATATAATTGGTGTGCCTGCCAGCTTCCTATTATATAAAAGGGATTTCCAATTACCCGATGATGTGTGGTTGGTGGACTTGGACTCTAATAAGGTAAGAGAACATGTAACAACTGATGCCTTACAGTTAGAAACCAGTAGTTTGTGGTGTCTATTGATGTACAATAAAACTGATTAGCGCCGTCCCACCTCAAGTCCAATTTCCTATCACCGTGCACTGGTTTCTTTAAAATAAAAGTAGAGGAAATCCTGAAATATTGATATGCTTAGTGTCACAAAAAAAAAAAAAACATGGGTCAGAAAATAAATTATGCAGCAGATGTACTTCACATTTATATTGATTTAACATATATCATTGCCTTGCATGACTTAGAATTGTTTACATTGATTACAAGCCATAGAATGTTGTTATTAGTGGTACAGAAAAAAACATTAGTCATAAGTTATAACAAACAACAATACAAAAAGTGAAGTGATTTTCTCACCCAGTTATAATACTGCTGAATAGATATGTAGAGGAGCCTTCATTTTACAGTTGTATAATCTTGGTGTATCATGTAGCTCTGTTTTTTCAGGTGAAGGTGCCTTCAGGCTGTGATGATCTGCCACCATTTCCAGAGCCAGAGGGGTCACTGCTGAAGAATCACCTGAAACAGGTAAGTTTTGAGGGGGGGGGGTCATAATTATTAAAATTTTCTTGACGAAGAATAGAATGGATTTAAAGACCATGTTGATGTAGTTGTGTTGGTGGGAGATAAATGAAAATGACATATGTCTTTTCATGTGTATATTTGAATTGTGTTAAATTACTCTTTGAATGTTGTTTAGCGCAACAGTTAAAGCATCAAGATAAATATATGGGGCTAATAAAGAATAATTGCACAAAAAATAGCAGTATTGTTTAAAAGCATGCAATCATGCGTACTCCATAATGTGAATTTTGAAGGCAAGAAATGATTGTTTACAGGCTTTAGCTAGCATGAGTATGACTCCTCAACCCATTAAAAACCTTGAGACCCTGGCTCAGAATCCAGAATTATGGCCAAGGCGGGAAAGTTTCAACTCCTCCAACACAGGTTTTAACCCTTTCATCTATGGTAATGATGTGGACTCTGTAGACATTGCCACACGTGTGGCTATGGTATGTAGAGCAATATTTCATATACTAAATTTATAGATTTTATGATGATTTTATTTTTTAACTGGTATAGCATTATTGCATGATGCTGTGAGTTATAATGATGGTCAGTTAAGCTCTGAGGATTTGAAAAGGTGATTTTCTGGCAAACAGTTCTAGTGAACTGCACTAATTATCTTTAAATCCATATCCTAATATTCCTGTGGGACATACTGTGATGGCTAAATTAGATAAAACCAAGTGCTGTGTTTCAACAAAAGTGAGAAATCATTAACACTTGGTGGGGAAATCTAATTTGATAAATTTTCAGTAGATTTATCATCATCAGCAATGTCATGGAGAGCAAGAGGTTTACAATTTTCTACGAGGATCATATACAAATACAAATCCAGAACAAAGCAACCACACAGGAGTCATTAAAGTATAATAATCCAACTAGATTTCAGAAGGCCCATAACTATATAGAACCTTCGCAGTTTTCATCATGTCTGACATTTTATTAGTTTTACTTTGTAAATGTTATATTGAGATAATGCGAATACTACACTGGATCTTTCGGTGAAACAGAGAGCATGCCATTGTGACCTTATTGCAAGGTCTTCTGAAAGTGAACTGATTTTGAATTGTCACCGATGACGTGAAAATGTTCTGCGAATGGCACTGGTGATAATTCAAAATCATTTCACCTGATGAAGACCTGTAAGGTTGAAACATTGTGGTCTCCATTTCAATGTAAGATCCAGAATTAGATTTAATTTTTCATTATCTCAAACTATTCACTTTGATAAATGTTATATGCTACAGGGATTTATTTGTTAAGTTTCTTCTGTATGTCATGTTTAAATAAAACGGTGACATTGAAGACAATCTAGCCTTTATACTTATGCTGGATGATTACATGTACACTGATGTATTATAAATCATGTGTTTCCATGGTAATCTTGTTAAGCTCGTTAGCTTATTGAATAAAGTATGATGTAACTGCAAGTAAATGTTTTTATACTTTTGCCTGCAATGTCATAAGGTGAAAGTCTATGCTGGTGGTAGTGTTGAATTATGGTATTTCAAATTCTTCCTTTCACCTTTGTCACTGGTGTATATAGTCTGTGATGCTAGACACCAGTCCAATGCTATTTACCAGTAGATTTTGTGTCAAACCTTACAAAAATCAAGTATTTCAAAGTTACTAGGTTGATTGACCTCATGGAAGTTTTAGCGATTGAATAAAATGAATGTCGCTATTTTGTATTACAGTCAGTTTTTTTTATTTTATTATTATTATTATTATTATTATTATTATTTTTATACCAACAGGTTAGATTCTTCAACTCTCCCAACCTCCTGGGTAACTTCAGTGAGCACACAAGAACATTACGCCTGTATCCACGGCCTGTAGTGGCCTTTCAGATATCCAGCTTTGTTAAGTCCAGACCCACACGGACAACATTTGCTATCAGGCTGGCAAGAACTCAGGTAAACAAATTAACAGACAAGATTTTTTTTTATATATTATTATTTTCTGAATCTCACAAAACTAAATCATAAAAATAGTTTTCTTAAAAAGCTTTTAGTGAACAGTGAGCTGTAATCATAAATATTTGAGTTAAATTGAATGCTGAAAGAAGTTTAAAACTCTGGACAAAGAGATGAACTGACTGACCCTCCATTTATCTCTTCAGGCTGTTGAGTACTTTGCTGAGTTTTACTTAAATCCCACAAACATGGTTTTCCTGAGGGTTCAGACGGGGGTATTTGACCCGTCTCTTATTGGAGACAAACCTAAGTGGTACAGCAAGCAGCTGCAAGAAGTTCAGTTCCGAGTGTATGATAATACTTCAAGTCTGGGAATGGCTTTAACTGCTGCTGAGAGAGCTCAGGAAGAGGACCCAACAGGTAGTTATAGCATATCACATTCTGCAGAAGATATAGCTTCTGCAATTAATCCCTTTTGTTGATATATTAAGTCACTAATCCTGTTGGATTATGGTTGATCAGAAATCACTTGTATTTTTAAGATGTAAGGGACATTTTGCCCAAAAGGTATGTATTTTCCATTTTAACTTTTATATAAAGAATAATTGTTATAGAGAGAAATTATTTGTTTTTAAGATGAAAGTGGTAGTGACAGTGATGGTGGGGGCAGCAGTTCATCATATTCTTCACTCAGTGATTTTGTCATAGACATGGTCAACAGTGAAATTAATGGAGAAACACCAGGTTAAATAATTTCCATATATTTATTTTTATTTTACCTTCATTTCTAAACAATTGCCTCTGTTTTAGAAAGATTTTAGACATTTAAGACTAGTCTTTTCTCATTAGAATTAAGTAATTAAATTTAAGATGGCTATTTAAAATTTTTTTTTATAATTAACTCAAGCTAAAGTTGCCATCTGATTTTAAGCACAAAGTGACATGGTCATTTTTTTTCACAATCATTTAGATGCATGTCTCATGTCTATCTAATCCAGAAGTGTTTGATGTGGACAGTATCACCAAAGACACATCTTATGTGTACACTCCACCGAGAGAGCTCCAGGTGCCGGAGCCACTGATATGCCCCACTGATTCCTCCTCCTCAGAGGATAGCGAGATGGACTCGGATTCCTCCTCAGGTCCTCTGCAGTATGCCAGCGATATGGACAAGACTAATTCCCAAGCAGGCTCACAAGTAGACTCCCCTGGGGTGAGTGATTTCAGTAATATAGTTCAGTAATATAGACCACTGGCATGTATTTATTTATATAATTACTATTATTTAAATATATTTATTTTATTTTGTTAATTAATTAATTAATTAATTAATTAATTTTATTTTGCAAATTCACCTTGGCTCCTTTGATAAAAGGGATAAGCTGTTGTTGAAATGAGTGTCAATAAAGGCACAGTGATTATAGTCAACTGTGTTGGTACATGTATAAATCTTATAATGTGGTAGACCTTTGTGAGTGCTAAAACTAAACCAAGAATAATAGAAACTTGTTTTTAGTTTTGAAAAAAATCTTAAAGTTTCAGAGAATTTACATAAGGGCTAGAAACATAGTCTAGGTTTGGAATGTTTTGACATTTAATTTAATTTAATTTAAAAATTAATTTTGTCCAGGTATCATTATGATATTCTATAAATTATTTTGTCCACTTCCAGAATGACTTGGACTCCCCAGGCAGTGTATTTGATTCTGTTCCACCACCCAATGGTAGCATCCCAGGACAAGCGATAAGGTATGTGTAACTACTAAGAAAAAAAAAAGAAACTTCATTCAGTATATGAGGCAGCCACCCCACAGGACAGTTATAAGAAAATCATTCACTAGTATCATGGACAGCTGGCTGTTTTTCTCCTAAGTAAAAAGTATGACAGTATTAAATAAAAGATACCATCTGATAAGTTTATGGATTATTCAAGTTGTTCTATTTTTTTATCTAATAAAGATTGATACGCTTGGACTTAAATAGAAATATTATTAACATTTTAAGGTTTATAGCTTTGCAATATAATTGTATGTGTGCCTGCACATTGACACACTTCATACTTTTCAATATTATACATTTTAGTCCCAAACCACGTATAGAATCAAAAGTCTTAGTACCAATATCTCGGAGTAGCAGTGATTCAGCTTACAGTGGCTCCACCAACTCCACAGGACAGGCTAGTAGCCAGCGGGGAAGAATTAGCTCGGATTCCACAACAGTGATAAACAGGTCAGGGGGTGGAGACTCGCCACACATTGCCCAATCACAAAGCTCATTTGCTGCCAGGGTGAGTTTTCAACACATCATAAAAGAGATGATTTGTAGTGTCTCATTAAAAAGACATTTCATTTAGAAATGACAAATAATGTTCATGGAAACCACACATCTTCACTGATTGAATTCTATACATACTGAGTGTGAGAAGTTTAAAGTATGATGATAAGTACATTATATATTTGACTAATTTAATTTGTTGGGGGAGGGAATGATAGAAACAACTTGAGAACACTTATATTGGAGCTCTGGTTTTGTTTGCAGGGACTGAGCTTGAAAGGTGATGGTCAAGGTGACAACAAGGAGTCCATTATAAGCAGCCTTGGCAGTGAAATCAATGGCTATGCCAAACAAGCAAGCAGCACTCTTTCAGAACTGTTTGGTAAGTCCAAATATTTTTGGTTGAATAATGATTTGAGATGTCTAAAGAAATTTTAAATTGTTAAACAAATTCTTATTGTCTTAAAAAACACTAAAATAAGAATCATATAAACATCATTTTCCATCATTATATACAGATAAATAACCCCCTTTTCCTTTTTGCTTGTCAGAAACATTTGTTAATCATTTTGAACAGATAATACCACCATTTTTTGTCTTTGTCATCATCATCATACTCAACCATACCCCAGAGTGTGATTATTGAGCCAATGTACATCAGGCAATCTACTAAGTAATTGCAGTATTCCTTTGATGTTATACCATTTCCCAGTAATGATATTATAAAGACATTATCATCTTCATGATAAGACACAGTGAAACACCCACATGTATTGATTTTTAAGTTTGATGTTGCTAGATGTCATGTGTGTATTGTTTGTAATTTCCCCCTCTGTGTGGCTGCGTATGAATAGTTATTCTTCTGCATATAGTGGTGTGGTTTGCTAGGTTTTATTTTTGTTAGATGACACAATAATTGGTTGATGATTTCTAAAAAATGTTGTGTTATATAACTGACTAATATTTTTAGTGTGCAAATCTTGTATCCAATCACTGGTAATGGTTACTGTCCATACAGCTTAACATGTTCTTTTATTGGTGGGTTTTCTGTTTAGTGAAAAAACAGTGGGGCAACTATGGTTTCATATTGGACCTAAATTGTAAGTCAGTCACCATTACCAGTTGGTCTAACATTGGAAGCACTTGGCATTGGGAAAGCTTTGTGAAAGTGGCAGTTTGCAAGATGTGATAATGTTAAAAAATTGACTATGAAAAGCACCCTTACAAGCCTGAAAATGGATGCTTAACAGTGGTTGTTGTCTTGCTTATTATTTCTTGTCTTTCTCTTTGTGCTTGCAATGGATCCTTTTAAAGATCAAAGTAAGGAGGGTTTGTCTAGTACAGTCACGGGTCTAAAACATGGATTGGAAAAGAAGCAGTTGGACAAGATCAAATTGGATGATCTAAAACAAGGATTAGCGGGTACAGTGGAAAGCCTTGGCCATGGCATGAAAGAAGTTAAGAAAGGTGTACTAGAAATGAAAGAAGAGGTTCAAAGTGCTCCTATCGGAAGCCAACTTGAAAGTGTCACCTCGGCAGTTTATAGTAAAGGTTCTACCTATGTGAAGGAACTGAGAGGTAGGCTTTACTTGCTGCTATGAAACGTGCCATACAATATTCTGCATGGCAGAGGTTTTTCTTAAAGAAGGAACTTTTTTAATAAGGGGCAAAAACTGTTTCCTCTTGTGACATATGTCAATAATTTTGCACATGAAAATGTATATAAAAAAATCAACAGACCAACCCAATATTCTGAGTTTGTGTCCCTAGAAAAATCAATGCTCTTCATGGTTTTATATATCATTTGAAATTAAATAGATCATTTTTATTATATAAGTTATCAGTACAATCTATATTTTACTGACCTTTTTGGATATACATAAACTCAAATTGAAATTGTTTAAAAATGACTTTGAAAATCAAAATGAGTAGCTGATTTTACTTCAGTTGAATCACAGTGAAGTTTAATTTCTATAGATATCTTAAAAGAAACAACAAAAGCAAAGAGAGATTTTTTTCCTTCTTGATTTCCTGGTCATTAGGAGAGAGTAGTTTTCTGTAACCTGTCAATCAGTATTTTGATTACTGAGCTTAATCCAAAGTTTGTTTTAAAACTTTTTCTGTAGAAATGGCATGTGAATGTTACCAGATTGTTTATGTATAAAATTATTTATATTGCTTTTGATGTATATATATATATGAGGGTAGGACTGGATGAATTTATGGCAGCATATTTGATATGCAGAAACAATATTACTTTTCTTTAAGTTTTTCAGTGGTGCTATTTTTTGGGTTACCTTATTTTATTGCTTATACAATGCGTACTTATTGTGGCTACTAATTTTGTTTTTAAAGCTTTTTAGTGACTTTACTGACAACTTTTTCTTGTGTTTTTTTAAGTAGTTTAATCAATTAAAACTGAACCTAAATAGATGCCTTTTATCCTTTTACTGTTTTAAGCTTTAAACCCTGCTGTCTTTAATTTTATGAATTCTAACTTATCATTAGGAAAATATTGACAACTTCCCTTTTTTCATTTTTTGTACTATTTTATGTTTATTTATATTATGAATCTCTCAAAAGGGAGGGTTTGGGGCATATCAGTAGCAGTGCCCAAGCATCAAGCAGGTAGTCTTGTGAAACATATCACTTACGTTTTAGACAGTATGAGTTATTTTGTGAAAACAATACTAACAAGCAAGCATTTCAGTTCTGTGCATTCTATACATCAGAAGGGATGTCACATATCTTATACACATTTTATGCCAATGCATGTGTGAAGATTAAGTTACTTATTGTGTATCTCCAGGAACCAAGAGCACAACAATGAACAGTTCTTCCAAGCAGACCAAACCCTATGCACCTTTAGGTAGGTAGCTTTTTTTTTGGAGGGGGGGGGGGGAGCAAAGGGGTGTCAAATTGCTATTCTTTTATAGAAATGATAAGAAAGGAAGTAGACTTTGCGTCATTAAAAAAGTACGAGTCAGAAAATAAATATGATTTAGATACATACATGATTCATTTACAGAATTGTTCTCATGTATAATAAGTCCAGAAATACTGTGGTTAGTGGTTAGTACAGATAAAATACCGACTACAGAAGATTTAGTTATTTTTTGGCCCACATGTTTTTAATGATGGCAAGTAATTATAGATAATTTGAGAGAATTCTGTACCGTTGTGGTTGACATGTTGAGGTAATAATAACATTGAAGCAAAGGCATAATAAGAAATGTTTTAAATATTTAAGAGTTGGATTTAATTGTCTGTAGCAGTTCATTATTAGTATTGCACGTTTGGTATCAGATGAATGTGGGAGATATGATGGCAGATGTGTCATTATGCTTGATTAGATTATAAGTTGTGGGCTGTGATCAGTACAGAAAAAAATAAGACAAACCATAATTGACAACAAATGGTATTGTAATTTTTGGACTTGCGTGTTTTTAATCATGCCATGTATATAATTTGAGATAATCGAGCTGTTGTGGTTGGTATGTGGAGGTAGGATAGAAGCAGAGGCATAACATGAGACGTCTAAAAATAACAGAAATGATATCCATGTTACTAAGAGTTCATTATTAGTATTGCATGTTTGGTATTGGAATGAATGTGGGAGGTGTGATCACATGTGCTATCATGTTTGTGTCACACTTTTTTATACAGTACATTTAAGTAGGTGTGGCGGTTATAAGGATGGGTAAAAGTACAAAGAGGGGACGGTGTGGTGGGAGGCTAAGGAATAAAATAGCTCAGTAATAGGGATGGCAAATATAGAAATGGGTATCACGTAATAGAAGGCCCAGAAATAAAAAGCTCTGAGATATAGAGATTGAATAAGATTTTGTTGCTTTTTAGGCAACAGGAAAGCTCTGGTTGAGAAGTCTGGTCTGGTGAAACATGCTTCCCACAGGAAGATGACCAGAGACTCCTCAAAGCAGCAGCTTGTAGATACAAGGACAAGTGCTCACAGGTAAATCAAGTGTTCCCTCTGAAGTGAATATTTGAAGTAAATATTTTTGTTTTGATAGATTGAAATTAAATGCATTTAATTTTGATATTTTGTAAAAGTGCACATGAATAAAAAGCATAGGGTTGCAGGCATAATTATTTTAGTAAAAAAGTTTTGTGCCAAATATATATAAAGTTTTTTAACAGTAAGGACTTAATTTGCAAAAGAAATGTTTGGAATTATTTGAAAATAAGCTGGCATTATTATGTCTGAAAATGTTACTACGTTTCCAACTGCAGTGAGAATCAGCAGTTCCTGAAAGATGCTGTCAGTCACATACTTGATGGACATGGGGTTGGCTGGCTGAAAATCAACAAAATTAGGAGATTGATGGAGGATGAGAATTATCGTAACTTTGTGGTGAGCAGGCTGAACACGTCATTGGATAAAAAACTTACAGAAGAGGATATGTACATAGAAGATGTGGTAAGTTTTAGCCCACTCCTCAGGTTATCTTAATAAATGGTATGATTGTGAACAATATATCTCCATCTTTTTATCATGTATTTAAAGGCAATGTCATTTTGCTTGGAGATCCAGAAAGAAATTAAAGAAATGTTTCTCTTTTGCTGAAGAAGAAATTCTGCTATTGAAAATGATCTTTTAAAAGTCAGATGCCCACAGTGAAATACTAGTTGATATAATAAATGATTGCCCTTTTCCCTCCATCATTGCTGAAACTTGTATTATATCTTAAACTTGTAAATGATATACCATACATGGTTATTAATCACTGAATTATATTTAACTGTCAGTATTTTGTGTATTAATCAAAGTACAAATTTCAACAAAATGATATTTTCAGCTAACAAATATGTGATTCAGTTGTGTAAAAATAAATTTAAAAAAAAAAAAAATTTGACAGCAAACTAGCCTCAGAGACTATTTATTGATAATCTTATTTCAGTGTGTCAGCAAGCAGATCTTCAAAGGCATGTTGACCATGCTGAAAGCAATAGTGTATGGGCTGGACTTTACCTACCGTAATCATGGGATAGGAGGTATGGCCAGTGCATTCATGGTCTGTGAGATTATCCATACACATTACTGGGCCAAAGAACTGACAGGCAGCAATAGGAGTGATGCAAGTGGCTCTCAGGTAAATTTGCTTGGTCTGCCAGACCTGGAGCTGATTTCTCAAAAGTTTACTGTAGTGGTTGGTGTAAATTTTAAGACCAAAACTTAAGCCTACAGAAAGTCAAGACAAATCCATAGCAGTCCACTTATATAAAATAAAAATGGACCTGAAAGGATACCATTGCCTTTGTTATGATACAGGTGCAATGATTTATTTAATTTTATGGCTCTTAATTGATGGGCATGAAATTATTTTATGAGTATCTTTTCCATCATGATCTTTCAAATATTGAAAGATTTGGTTATTAAAACTTTTTTCACCCCAGGGAACTGATTTCCATCTTGTAAGTTATCAAAGTAAACTACCTTTTGAGGTCATATCTACATGAATACATTGATTATTAAATCCACAACTTGAAACCTTTGATTTTGGTATTATTTGTACATTGCCCAGTACTTTCTACTATGTTTTTATTTTACCCATGTTGTTTTCACATTCAGACCAGCTCCCCATTTGGCAGCCGTGAGAGTTTGGTATCTGACATTAGCCCGCGTGTGGAGTCCAAGAGCTTGCCAGGAGAGGACCAATCCATACCAGTATTAGGTACTAGTATAAATTTCAGATAACTTCATGCTGGGAATGAGGACAAATGTTGATAACTTGTAGAAGAAAAAAGATCTCTCTTACACTGTTGTTTGTTTTGTATATTTTTGTGGAAGGTCAACTGCAGATATCTCAGAAAATGTAATTGAGAGGGTGTGTGTATATCATTGTTATTTTAGATAGCATGGCAGCTACAGTTTTTGAGTGGATTATGTTGTTTGGTTTTGTGTAGTATGTAAATTTTGGTGTGTATTCAGCACCAGCCTGGTGTATTCACAAAAGCAAGATAATGTTTTGGTTGAATGCTGCTAAAAACTGTAATTTTGTACTTTCATTTGAATGATTATCTTTCATCTACAATTAAGCTATTCTAAAAGTGTTTTCCTATTGATTTTATGGAAATAATAGGTGAAATTACATTATATGTGGGTCTAGAAAGTGTATTTATCATTTATAGTTTGTATGTTTCCACAATTGTAGTTTACATGTGTAATAACACATAAAGGACTAGACATTTGCGAAACAATGTATAGTTTTGAAGTGTGTATGAGGGAGAGACAAACAGAGATTGAGTCTTGTTGCTTATTCTAGTCTCTTTGTTGTTATCGTCATCATCATTGTCATCATCGTCACCCATGTAGCTGGTGAAAGTTTGTATGTGGATATGTTTGTTGAATTTAGATGTTGGGTTCTATTGTGTGATAGATTATCAGCAAGTCTTTGCATCTTCACACTATGGTCTAGGGATGGTCTCTAATTTGTGTTCTTTGCCAAGTGCACTGACTGTACATGTATGGTAATGTTTATGTATGCTTATGTTGTATAGGTCTGATCACCAGTCTACAAACTGTTGTTGTATGTGTTGTCTATTGTCCTGTTTTGTAGGTGGCTACTTTGACCGGTCTACTAGTCCACGACACAGTGCAATTCAGCGGGAGCTTTCACCGTCTCATTCTCTTCCTAGTTCATATTCTGCAGGCAAGTATTGCATGGCTTACAACTCTATCTCTTTGTCTCTCTATTTGGCTTTACATGCAGGCAGATGGCAGATTCTTCCTTCAGCATGACTATGACAATATGTAGTGTGTATGTATGTTGGAGGAGTTTTTCTCGTCTTTGTGGTGTTTTACTTTAATAGGTACCAAAAAAGTTTAGTAAATAGATAAATAAATAGAAAAGTAGTTATAAGACCTGGCTTGAAAATAATGTCATGTAATAAGGGTAGGTTTTTGATGACTGTTTAGAATCATAACAGTTAATGTGTTCTTCTGTTGACTGTTATGTCTGTTGTATCTTGTGAATGTTAAATGAATATTGTGAAGTTATTTCGCTGTTTATATGAACAGGTCGTATCATAAATAAAATGGCGACTTAACAGTTTTTCTATGTTCTTTTTATTTATTTATTTTTTTATTAAAAAAATTTATTTACTAGGCTCTCCCGTTCTGCTGGATGGTGAAGAATACCAAAATATTGAACTGAAGAACTCTCATCCATTGTCCCACACAGAGTCTGGGAAGCAGGACTATAATTCAAACTCTGCCAAATCTCACTACAGTACAGAGCAGCACACAACCAGCATGCGTGCTGTATCTGCCCAACAGACAAACTGTGATATTATAGTGACTGATACTGACCCACTGAGAAGACAGTACGTGGACACAGATCCCCTGAGAGGACCTCACGCTCCAGATACCGCCACCACGCCGGAGAAGCGCCCCAGTCAGCAGGAAGACATCTTGAGAGAACTGGTGAAGAACAAAGAGCTGTTGAGGTCCAGGCGGGGAGTGGTGCCCCATGGCCAGAGTGTGGATTCTGAGGTGTCTGAGGGATCCACACTGGTGAGTGATGGTTCTGATTGGGAAGGGAGAAGACCCAGGATAAATCATCAGACTATAAAACCTTCACTATCAGATAGTAGTGAACATGATATTGGAGGGGTAAGTCACAATGATAAAAGCATAGTACTAATATTCTTGTGACTGGCACCCAGGGTTCTTTCCAAACTTTTGCTCTCTGCATACCAAACATAGTCCCAATTCACTAATTGTGCTCTAAATAACCTTTCTTTGATAGTATATATTTTAATCGACCATGCACTTGACCATTTCCTTGCATCTTTGTGGTATATTTGGTTTCTTCCTCACAATTTATTTTAACAAAATTATTAACACCAACCTAACTTTCTTACTTCATTACAGACTAACAGGGATTTCAATTATGTAATTGGGCTTTTTTACCTTCACATGAGAACCATTCCATGCATGATCACTAAAATATTTGGTATTGGATTATGGCTGTGATGCATTTCTTTTCACTTTTTAGAAAGTTAAGCATTCATATGTCTGCAGCTGTATCCACCTGAAGTGTGATTTTACATATTATATTCACATCAACTATCTGGTTAATGGGAATTGTGCTTTGTTACAACTATCTTAATTATTCTTCAAATTTCTGTACAAAAGAAAATGGTGTCTTGATATACCATACTGTGTTTCTCAGATTTGAATGCTAGCACAAAAGGATTACATCTTTTAAGTTTCATTGTACTCCTATACATTGATACAAGAAGCAACTGTTTACTAACAAAGTTTATTCTGTTACTACTGTTCTTATGTATCATCCAATTTTACAGCTGGTAGGAACGCGGTTATCACGTACTGCAAGTATATGGAGCAACAAATCCACTTTGAGTGGTGGATTCAGATTCAGAGATGGAAAACTGGTTCATGTCGGCCCTCTCAGTCCAACAACCACCAGGTTGTATTTGTTTCAACATCTCATAGGTGAGGACAATAACTATTTTCTTGCCTCTGTTAAACCAGCTTAAGTAGTTGGCTCAGTGGAAAAAAATAGTTTACAAACATGAACCAGCTGTGATGTTTTTATCAAGATTACAATTTATTTTTTAATTTATTTGATTGAGGGTTAGTGCACATTTCTTTTTAGCTTTTTATCCTAAAATGTGGTTCACATCCCTGATAACATGATTTTGAATGAAATAGGTATTTGCCCTACATTAGTCCATGGTGGAGATTACGGGAGTTGTTTTCTGCTTGTTTATTTTGTTTTCAACTGTTCATTTGCAGACAAAGATCGAAGCCGGCTGTGGGACCAGATGCAGTTTTGGGAAGATGTGTTCCTAGATGCGGTGGCCCAGGAAAGGGATATTATTGGCATGGATCAGGGACCTGCTGAAATGATGGACAGGTAAATGAGGCTCAGGAGTATATCCCATCCAGTCTTAGAGATTATGTTGTCATGTTATAATTTTAAGACGGGGTTGTAGGTCCCTACAAGACACATGGCTTGGTAAGATATTTTTATACAAAAAAAGAGTGATTAGGGAGGCTATTCATCAACTGTTCCTATTTTGCTGATTGTTTATTCATTGGCATATAAACATACAGGTAGGCAAATACATAGATGTATTGAAACATATGGTTAAGGTATTTGTGATACTGGTATTTTCATGATTTTAGGTACAAAGACTTGGGTGCTGCTGAGAAGAAACGTCTGGAACAAGATGAAGACCGACTTTTGGCCAACATGCTCTACAACCTGATAGCTTTCATGGTCATGATGAAAGTGAATAAACAAGAGATACGACGCAAAGCCAGAAGAATGTTGGGAAAATGTCACATTGGGCTGCACTACAGTCAAGAAATCAATGAACTGTTAGATAATTTGACTAACCTGGTAGGTGGTTGTGTGTTCATTTGTGATTACACTTAAGATTGGAGATATGCCTAGGTACCATACATAATTGATCCTTTTGTATCAGTCCCATGTAAAGAATTTGAACTATGGTGAATATACGTATGATGCAGTAACAGTTAAATCAGTTTTATCATTGAAGAGTGTTAAGAATGTCATTTTTCAGAAAGTGATTTTTAATTGCCTCAGAGTGAATGTTCTACTTTCACCAAAATAAGATATTAACCTTTATTTCCCCTGTTTTAGCATGGTAATGACATTGATCTGAAACCCCTTGGTAGTCGCATGATGCAAAAGCAATCTTTTACTGTGCACTGGGGACCAGACAACACTGGAGATATGCTCTTCATGGAGGTAATAGTTTGCTATTTTAACACACAGTAGAATGAAGGTTTGTATTATGTATGAAGCTTCAGGTCATCATGTTTATTTGTGATACATTCTGTTAATGTGTGAAAATGATGTAACTTCACAACTTGCAATTGAATTCTGACTGGACAGAAAAGAAGACATGATTATTTTATTATACTAGCAGTGGATTAAGAAAAGGAGCTGATTGAAAAGGGGTGTTTTGATAGTTGTCACACAGCTACTTCAATGTTTCAGGTGTGTGATGACTGTATAGTGCTGCGTAGTGTGATGGGGATTATTTGTGACCGCTGGTGGTATGAGAAGCTGGTCAACATGACTTACTGTCCAAAAACCAAGGTTCTCTGTCTCTGGAGAAAAAACGGGGACCAGACACAGCTCAATAAGTTCTACACCAAGAAGGTATAAAAGGATGATCTCTTTAATGTTGCCTATATTGGACATTGTATATTGCCAGTTCATAATATATTTGTATTTTGTTATATCCTAAGTGAGCACAGCATGTGGTGATGTAACAATAACATAAGATCATATCAATCTTAAGATATAAAATATGGAATGGATTGTGCTTTTGATATGTTGAGAAAATTATATTTTCAGTGCAAAGAGCTCTATTTCTGTGTAAGAGAATCAATGGAAAAGGCTGCTTTAAGGAATAATGGGAAAATACCAGGTAATACTAAGATTTATAAAATTTTAATTTAAATTAGTTTGCCTGTATTTTAAATTTTATGGTCCTTTGAAAATGCTGCTTCTCTTGAGTCATATCTAGTTTTTACTATTTATCTAAAAGAAGAAATGATTTCAGTATAGTTTTGATGATATTTATTTTTTCAAGCTGTCTTATCTAAAATTAAAGAACAGCAGTATTCCTTTCCTTATATTTTTATTTTTCAAAAAAGACTGGAAAAGATGCTGTTAACAGTGAATAATGTAGGTGTAGTGTGGTTAAATCTCTTAATTTGACATTGCTTTGGCAGGACCTGAACTTGGTGGAGAATTCCCTGTGCAAGATCTCAAGACGGGCCAAGGTGGACTGCTTCAGGTTTGCATGGAAGGCATTGGGCTTCTCTTGGAAAGCAGCAAGGTCAGTGCTGCCACCTATACTGTCATTCATTGGATCTATATTTATAGGGCACTGCTGCTTGCGGGCTGTCTGTTGTAGTGAATGGTTTCTTAGCTGTCTGGTTGTTAAAATATTTGCGATTCTAATATTATACATTTTTGAATGTTTTCTTCGTAGGACTACCTTTTAGTGATTGTTTGATTTAAAGTGCTATTTTTTAACATTTATATGGAATCTATTTGCTTCAAGCAAAGATCATTGAACACTTTATGCTTTTCTAGGGGTGTCACATCCACTGACGTTTTTAAGGGATCTGTTTTTGTGAAAATGTATATTGATATGGCTTTCTATAACAGATATTGCCCTGTGGTACTGACATAACTTTGTTAACAGAGTTTTTTTTTCTTTTTGGTTATTACTTAACATTATAACTGAATAATCCATGAAAATTCCATAATTCATCAAATTCATTTCTAAAATGTTATCTAGAAAAACATCACAACTGTGCAAAATGGTTTAAGCCTTGGGTTGAAATATTTAATGTTCGAAAAGCTTAAGGAGATAAGTTATGACACTGTGTCAGACATTTTTGCAATGGGACAAATATAGAACTGGAAGGATCCCAGATCATAATTAACTGTATTTGTTGAGGGAGAGCCGCATCATCTATAATTGTGAATAGTAGCATTGACAGACTTGAAAAGTAAGTTCTTAAACATGACCCAGAGTGTCATAACAATAGAGAAACTAACCTTTCTTTCAGTGTTATCTTCTGTGACATTCACTGCTTTTTTTAATCATTTTACAGGTTTTCAATTGAAAATGAATGTCCTTTGAAGAATACTGAAGATTAAGTCTATTATCAGCTTGTCTGCACCTCTCTAGAGCTCCCTCTGCTTGCTGCATGTGTTTTATATATCATATTCATTCCGATGGGCATGGTTGTCTTTCTTGCAGTATGTGGACATACCAGATACAAGATGGTACCTGTACTTGCATGTGCCAAATGGACATTCAAGACATAAGATGACAATGGGTCTTGCATGAGTCATATGGGCATACAGCACACTAGATGGCACCACGTCATGCATGCACCATATGAACGTGCAAGTCACCATAGTTCCTATTCTTGCATGAGTAATTGTTGAGAAAGAAAAAACAGTGGTGTGAGGTTGAACATTATTTGATTTTTTCGTGTCAAATTGGCTTTCGAAAATTTTCGGGATTTCATGTTGTTTATTTTTTTGACTGGGAATGGGATGTATTTTACAGGGAGAAGATACATGATGTTACACGTGGTATCCATTTTGATAATTTCTGGTATCGACTAATTTAACTTTATAAAATTGCCTAACTGTGCTTTTCTATTTTTCTTTCCCTCATCATACCATTCTGGGGCATCAGGACTTTGAGGTATGAAGCAGCGTGCAAATCTCTTGCGTGTTGCATGCCAACTACTAGATAGACAAAGCCTGTCCCTCAGTTGGCTTTTGCTTATTGGCTTCTGTTGTGGCTATTTCTTGCTGTGTCCTTTATGTTGATCAAGCTACCACTTGAAATACAGTAATGTCATATGTACCAAATTGTGATTCTTTATATATATTTATATATATTATATGTAGCTGTTTGTACTCTGTGGCGTTATTTATATTTGGAATGCTATTGTAATTTTTGTTCTTTTTTTTTTTTCAATGAATTCATAAAACGTTGGCATGGATGGAAATTCATTAAGACTATTTTCAAATTTATTTTGATGAACACTAACAAGTATTATCTATGGTACTAATCCTAGCTTGAAATTCAGTATCCTTACAATTCAAAATGTCAGTAAAGTGTTTGCCATACACTTGGTATAATTGTGTAACTCGTATTCCAAGTGGTAGCACCACCCACCAGATATCCTGTGGTTGTAAATTTTCTGTTTAGTTTCTCTTGCTCAATGTGTTTATTTTTTCTTATTTTCAGTTCTTTGTTGAGCTAAATCGTGTGAGGAAATGTTTCACACAGAAAGGCGGCATTTTTGTCCTTGAAGAATTTGGTAAGCCCTATGACTGTCATTATCTGCATCCAACCATCCGTCCGTCTTGTTTTCTTTCTGTTTGTTGCCACCTTGGCCTGTCTTGGCTGTTGTGACATAGATGGCACTGCAGTAGTATAGTCATGTAACTTTGCATTTGCAAACTTTTTATGTTATGGAAGATATGAGAAGTTAAAATTTTGATTTCATAAACAAAAATTTCCTACTTTTTAGGAACCCTCACCTCAATATAACTACCCATTTGGGGGGTTTACAAAATCCAACCTGCTAATGTGATATTGTTTATATAGAAAAAATTTCAGAATTTTTTATCAAGCTTATCATTGCAAAAAGAATTAAGAAGGCATGAATACCTGCAACTGTTGAGAATTTAACAAAATTATTGCATGGAACATGATGGCAGTCAGTCCACAAGCCAAGGTGTACATCCCAAAATCTACTTTCTTTCAGATGCCAAGAATAAAAAAGTAATCCAGAGAAAATACAAGTCCAGCATGGTAAGTGTTTTTCTTTTTCTAATAAAACAGATTTAAACTTAGATAAGAAGTATTGCTCTAGGTAGACTGTTGCTCGAGATCAGTCCTTATTTTTTTCTTCACTTTGAAAATACTTACATGCATGAATAAGTCTACAAAAGACAGACTTAAAAAGCAAACATGCAAATTCATGAGGGCATTGCATGAATATTTTTCCTTTACTTAGCTTGAATGCTTATATAAAAGTTACTTAAACCACTTTAGCAGTTTAAATAGGCATTTATGATTAGCTTGTGACTACTGACTTTCTCCTATGGAGTCCAACTTCCTCTGCATCATATTTATTTGATAACCAAAATACACATATACAGAACTGTACATTTGTTTATAGTAGGCATACAGCATGGAAAGGGTGGAAGTGCTTCATGGTGTGGACAAATTGCCTTGCCATGTAACACTTTATGTTTTTATCATGTTTGACAGTATTTTCTTTGTTGAACATCTAATTCTGTTGCTTAGTATAGAGTAGATGTGTTATATCTATTTCTCTTTGTTATATCTCAAGTGACCTGAGTGAAACCACATTTGGCACTACATTTATATGTGATTGAAGTGCATTCTTCCTATAGCTTGCATGTTATTTGGTCAACATTCAAAGATCAGCAATGGTGAATGTCAAATGTAATCATTCCCTCAGATCAGCTAGAAACTTGGAAGTGTGTAATGTCATTTTTAGTGTGGTTATATTTTATGAATGTTTAAGTTGATGTAGTGATTTTTTCTCCCTGACAGGCTGCCCAAATTATTCACGCAGTTCATCGGACAATCTCAGTACAACCTGCACTTTATACTTTCCCTCAAACACACCGTCTGCAGCATCCAGACAGCAGCCTGCGCAAGAACGGCACCGTGCCCAATGGTTATTTGCAACACAGTATGCCTTCTTTCCATTTGTACTTGCTATATATATATATTTTAGACTTCATGACTGATGTCATCTTGCTACCATAGTTGCATGTGTTAGTAGCACAGTATTTGTAACAGTAGTAGCGTATGATAACAGTCCAGCACTGCCTGCATGCAAGGTTTATTGTAACCCAGACAGTAGTCTCCATACTTCAATTGGATGACAGGATTTCATCTATAAGAAAATTAAATCCCACAAATTTAATCATTATTATTTTAAAAAAAAAAGTTTTCTTTGGGCAGTTGAACTTTTGTAAGCTTCTGTAATTCTGTTACATATAGAAAGATTACCTGAATAAATGTAAGAAGCCATCCCAGGGACATTAAAGATAAAGCCATCACTTTTGAATCTTTTTCTATCTTTTGAACATTTGAACAGCAACACTGAGATATCTGGCTGTGTTTAGACATCAGGTCCTATAAACCGATTAGGTGTTTGCTAAGACTACTTGCAGATTTTTTATCCCTAATGACCTTATTAACTACCAAACCTATGTATTAATCAACACAGTGCACAATTATTTAGCACCAACAAAGTGATACCTGGCACTAACAGTCATCCCCTCTGGTAGCACTGGTTAATTTGTGGGTTATGTGGTTAATATGGGTGTTAGTGCTAAGAGATCTGCGGGTTGTTTTAGTAAAAGTCTTATTTGTTTCATAAGGCCTGGACATACAGATTTCTTACATGGAAATTTATTATGCATCTCTGTTTGGTTTTTGCTTATTGCTGCATTGTCAGAATGAAACTCAAAAGCAGCAGTGTTGGGAAGCAACAATACTAGAGGCGAATCTTTCCTTTTTAGATGTATGGAGACTAGTGTTGTATGGCATGGCAATTACTTTACTTACATATTCACATTTCCTTTGTTTTATTAACAGGCTGCAGATCTCACAACTGTTAGAGGCTGCTGTTCAACTGGTGTCTTGGCATGTTTTATTTTTTGTGTGCCTTTTATATAACTAAATCAGAGTTTAAGAGGTGAATTAATCAGTGCACTTGTTAACCAGCAGATTTATGTGCTTTCATCTTTTGAGCTGTTTGATTTATGAGGTTGAAAGCATGATTTGGGTTAATCCAATTTCCAGCGCCATTTTGCATTCATGTATGAAGGACAATTGATTTATCACAAACTCTCCCCCTCAAGCAAATATTGCATTCAGGACAAAAGCTGCTTATAATTATCCAGGATTGAGAGTTTGAAACAGTTGCCCTGCGTGCACACAATAATAACACCATAATATATGGCGTGCAACCATTTCAAGTAAATCAAAGTTATTTTTGATTTATTGATCAAACTGATATATGATTTTACATTTATGTTTTTATTTGTTGTAAGTAAAATGAAAGCCCAAAGTGTTGCAAGTATGGTTTGAGAAGGTTTTTTGACGAAACAAAAATATCTAAGTATATGGGTATGAACTTCGAGTATTAGGGTTTTAGTGTCCATATTAAATTGGTGCCTTTGAACAATATGTGGTAATTAAAAGATGACTTAGCACCATTTTGAATGGTAAAATCTGCAGCACAGCACATGATTTAATGCAGTGGATACTTGTTAGAGATTATACTATTCAATAACTAATATCCTAGGAATTTTTCACTTGGCTTCAATATTTATGAAGTGCTCTTAACACACCGAATTTTAAATGTTATAAGTAATAAGAAGCACCAACTTAACTTCTTTATTTGCTATGCTAACTGGNCGGTGTGCAACCATTTCAAGCAAATCAAAGTTATTTTTGATTTATTGATCAAACTGATATATGATTTTACATTTATGATTTTATTTGTTGTAAGTAAAATGAAAGCCCAAAGTGTTGCAAGTATGGTTTGAGAAGGTTTTTTGACGAAACAAAAATATCTAAGTATATGGGTATGAACTTCGAGTATTAGGGTTTTAGTGTTCATATTAAATTGGTGCCTTTGAACAATATGTGGTAATTAAAAGATGACTTAGCACCATTTTGAATGGTAAAATCTGCAGCACAGCACATGATTTAATGCAGTGGATACTTGTTAGAGATTATACTATTCAATAACTAATATCCTAGGAATTTTTCACTTGGCTTCAATATTTATGAAGTGCTCTTAACACACCGAATTTTAAATGTTATAAGTAATAAGAAGCACCAACTTAACTTCTTTATTTGCTATGCTAACTGGGAAGGTTTATTTTAGACAAAAATGATTACCATATTTCATCAACAGTTTTAATTAAGAAATATAATTTAAGAAATTATATAACTGTATTTTTTACATCTAAATTACTGATTTTATGACAAATTGTCACACAATATTATTTTGCTTGTATTAACAATGTTGAAGCGCATGAGTGTTTTTAATACTGCATGTTTGATATGAGCTTTTTATGTGGATGCTTTTCCTTGGCTTATGAATGACATGACAGTGATCTAAACAGGTGAAAGTAAACAGAATTCAAAATTTTAAAGCAATTGTTGGTTTTATTTTTCATACCATGTCTTATTTCAGGCTGATGACATCTGCTATGCTGTGTTGTGTGTATTTTCTTACGTGGCTGCTGGAATGGAACAACAGCAGCAACAGCAACAAAAACAGCCACAGAAACAACAGAGAGAATCTACAAGAGAAAGCATGCATTCAAAACGTCCTTCAAGCGACAGTCAACAACCAGATTATATACTGCAGAGAGAACTGCCAGTGACTGGTTGAGTTAAATAGAGTCACAACTAACACAATCTCTGTCTGATGCAGCTAATCACCTACTGCAATGGCAGCACCTTACACCTAACGCAAGCCATTCAAGGGATGGCAGACTTACCAAGGAAAGCTAGTGATGGATGGTGCTTATATCAGAAGGCAATAAGGATATCTATTCGTCTTGGTGGCTCTCACACTCTTTCTCCTTTTTTATTAGTAAAATCTTGTTTTGATTTTAGGAGAAAAATACTAGACGGTCCTCAATCATTAGTTCTTAGAAGAATTGGAGTGGTTGAACTGAGGAAATCCTATGAATAAACTAATAAACTCACCTTCCCGTTTACATCTCGGGACCTTATATATTATGTTTATGAGTAAGATAGTCATACCCAACTGTACTGAAACCATGTACATTTACTGTCCTACTGCTTCTTAGCATGGTTTTGTCAGTGACTATGGTGATTTATCAATTTATAATAAATTTACAAAAATTATGATTATACACATCGGCTATATGATTTAATTGTTGATTTGCAATGTTTTGTTATGGTTTGCTAAATTTGGTTGTTTGTATTTTCAAAAAATTACTAATATGTAAATTGCATGCAAGGAATATAAAACCAGGTTAGCTATTATGAAGACTTGTTAACCACAGGTCAGAGGTTTTGTAAATAATCTGTTGATTAAAATTCAATGTAGAAATCCCAAATGCCATCATACCCTTTCTGGTAAAGGAATGTTGGGTCATGAGACGGTTAGTGTTTATAGTTTCATTAATGTGCAATTGAATAATATAATCATAGACCTGTTATGACAGAAAAAAAAATGAAAAGAATGATAGAATAATATAGCAATTATAATCAGTGATTATGTGTGGTGGACAGATGACAGGTGTTAATACTGACAGTGTTTTCAGTAAAAAAAAAATATCGTAAACAACATTCTTCATCTATTATAATTTTTGTTTCTGCAGTGGAAGAAGGAATGCTATAAAAATTAAGGGCAATTAAAACAACTTGATATGATTTGTATGTAAAATGGTTGTTAATACTTTGTGTAGGGTGATGTTTTATCATAACTGATATTTGTAGCTATGAATATGAATGTGCAATATACAAGTTGCTGTTCTTGCTTATTGACAGTGCATTTTGAATGTGTTAACAATCCTTAAAAGAAATGCAATTCTTCAAGAAAATAATATTTTCTGTATTATGATAAACATATAATCAGATTGTTAAGAATGAATGTAGTACTTAGAAAATGGTTGCAAGTGTACACATGTATATATATGTATGACTACAGTTACTTCTGCTGTGGTGTTCAAACTTTATAATTAATTTACAAATTGACTACCATAAGTGGAATACTGATAGAAGTAAAGTTTTAGATAGGAAATTGCCAATTTCACAGTTGAAGTTGATGCAGTTAATGGATAAGTTGCTGTTAATATTTTATACACAGACAATGAAAGTGTCTGCATGTATTCTGATCCCCTGTGCATTGTCACTCAAATGCATTTTTTTTTCTATATCATAACTGCCAAACACGTCTCATTTTACTTTATGTTCACATGTAATATTGGTTTGGTTAAATGCTGGTTATGTTTTATTTTATTTTAGTCAGCATTATCAGAATTAATACTATATGTATGTATATTGGTTGCACACACACGCCCATTATCAATTTTAATTTTTTTTTTCAACTGTCTGTATATTACCAGCCTTGCTGTATAGCTTCATTGTTCAGAATCTGTAAAAGAATCTCCAAAGCAAAGTGCATGCTTACCACCTGTTTTTGTAGTGCCAGGACATCACAAGGAGTGACTCTTCACTATTACACCTCTAACACGTTGTGTACATAGTCCATTCTTTCCGAACCTATATTATTCATCTGAGCACTCACAGTACACAAAAATGTTCGGAGTACACAGGTAACTGTAACATAAACTGCACTAAGGCATAATGTGCAGGGAATTAGTCTGGTTTTTATATATAATTTCTATGTATAATTGTTTATTCAAAATATGTTTACAAAGACATTATTCCATTTACAGTATATTTTTTATATCATTTGTGGGTGTTAGAGGCATTTTGTTATTTATGTTAAAATTTCGCATTCCTTTATTTTCCAGATTGGTTTCATCCACAAAGTACTGCTTAGTGGATAATAACAAGTTTATTATTATTGTTCAGATGTTTAACATTACCATGCTAACTCATTCCAGCTTCACACAGGTTGTTATTAAAATAATTTGTGACAACAGTCTCTTGCTTCATTTTAGTTAATATACATTATGATGCAATTCTGCATGTACATTTAGAGCTTTAAAATAATAAAACTTAGAAAAAATGGCACTTGTTTGTTTTTTTAGGCTGAGATAATTAATAAGACTTCTCCACAATGTCAATAACCCTTTTAGTTCAAAAATATTTGCATAAATAGAACTGGCAATAAGATGCTCTTTAAAGCCAGTAATTCCATACAGATGTCTGTTCTGTAAAAAAAGTAAGTAAAAGGGTTCACAACTTCACAACTCTACTTTGTCACTAAATGCACAATCCCACAAAAAGATGGTCAAAGAAAAAACACCAACTGCATTGTTCAACTTGGCAGTCTAATGGAATAGTGCTGTAGTGCTTCCTTGCTCTCTAAGAGGCAGAAAGCTGAGATTGCTTCTACAATTCAATTTCCATGAAAATGTCTTCTAAAAAAGTTCACTGTCATGTTGACTATCACATGATTCTGATACTCAAACTGTGCTAATGACTTGATTCCACCTTCAATGTGGCCTGTTGTACGAGTTGCAAGACTATTTTGCGACCACACTGCATTTTGCAAAGGAAGAAAAATGTAAATAAGCATTTTGTAATGATGTATTTAGCAGGTGTTTTAAGCCAATGGTGAACTAAAGAGACTTTCTACTACACTGAAATTGCATGATGAAAATTGCCTAAGGCTGTGGCTGAAATGGGAGGTTTAAGGGGCCTAAATTTGCAAAGTAGGTAAAAAGGTGGTGTGATATAGAAAGCACCCAGTTTTGAAGCAGGAAAAATAGAATGGACACTATGCACATCTGGTAAGAGACAGACTTCACATGAATGGAGAATTGTATAGATGCGACCAAAATTGCAAGCATACAGAATATACAGTATTGAGAATTCATTGCAGCAGACAGTGTCATCATTAGATCCAGTAGCAAGGGGCCACAGTGTCACCAGCAAATACATGAAGAAGCTTCTTCGTTATGTCACAAACGTCCTAACTGAGGAGGAAAAGGAACAGTTTTCTCGCAAGGTGAACCTCTTTTGTCACATAGTGGTGCGTCATGCACATTGTGTAATATTATCCAATGTGCATGACGCACCACTATGTGACATCCCCATGGAGAAGAATGTTCGTTTTAATGCCAAGAAAACACAGTTGAAACAAAACAGTGTATTATATTTTGGGATGATTGTTGGAGCACAAGGAATCCGACCAGACCCAGAGAAGATTCGCTCAATTCTGGAAATGCCAGACCCAACTGATACTGAGGCAGTGAAGCGTTTAACAGGAATGTTGAATTTCCTATCACCATTTACTCCAAATAAGTCTTCTACCATGAGTCCAATCAGCAGTTTGTTGAAAGCTGGAGTACCTTGGAATTGGGGACCAGAGCAGAAAGCTGCCATGCAACAAATAAAAGATCTGTTTACTCTCAGAAGAACCAGTGCTGAAGTTGTTTGAGCCATCCAAGCCAGTGACAATATACGCAGACGCGTGATCTATGGGATTAGGTGCATGTCTATTACAAGATGGTCAACCTATTGCTTATGCCTCACATGCATTAACTGATACAGAGACGAGATACACACAGATCGAAAAGGAACTTTTAGCTGTTATGTATGCAGCAACAAAGTTTCACCATTATATTTATGGCAATGAGGTTATGGTGGAGAGTGATCACAAACCCCTAAAGGCAATTATAAGGAAACCACTACACCAGGTGTCTCCTAGAATGCAAATGATGTTGTTAAAATTGATGAAATACAATCTATGCGTGACATGTGTACCAGGTTCAAAGTTGTACATTGCAGACACGCTGTCACGTGCGTATGTTGATGACACATCTAAGGAGAGCATAGATTCTCAGTTAGAAGGGGGACAGTACAGGATTCATACTGTTACTCAGTATTTGCCAGCATCCACGCACAGGATTCAGGAACTTCGAGAAGCTACTCAGAGTGACCACAGCCTCCAGCTGGTCCATAACCATATTGTGAATGGTTGGCCTCAGCATAAGTCTTCCCTAGCACCAGAAATTCAGGCATATTGGAATTTAAGAGGACAAATGCATGTGGAGGAAGGACTGATATATGCTGGAGAGCAACTTATAATTCCTGTTGCCATGAGACAAGAAATGCTTGTTACACTTCATGAAGGGCATGCTGGCAGTGAAAAGTGCAAAGCACCAGCCTCTGAAATTACGTATGTATTGGCCTAATATCAACAAGGACATAGAGACCAAGATTGCTGATTGCCCAGTATGTGCCACATATGCACGTCAGAATCCCAAGGAACCAATGATTCCACTTTCTTTGCCAACTCGTCCTTGGTCAAAGCTGGGTTCAGATATATTTGAGTTTGCAGGCCATGATTACTTGTTGATAGTTGATTATTATTCAAAGTTTCCTGAAGTTGTCAAGCTGCAAAACAAAACAGCAGCTGGTGTTATTGCAGCAATGAAACCAGTGTTTTCAAGGCATGGTATTCCAGATACCTTAGTTAGTGATAATATGCTTTACAATAGTGCTACTTTTAAGCAGTTTGCGAAAGAGTGGGGATTCACTTGTGTTTATACTAGTCCCACTTGTGACTTATGCTCAGTCTAATGGTCAAAGTGAGCGATTTGTGCAGTCAATTAAAGGAATGCTTAAGAAAGCACAAGCAGAGGGTACAGATCCTCACATATCGTTGTTAGAATACAGAAATACACCTTTAGCTGGCATAGGTTCATCACCAGCTCAATTGTTAATGAGTAGGAGGTTAAAAGATAAAATGCCTACTACAAACAACTTGCTGCAACCAAAGGTGGTAAATGATGCACAGTCAAAGCTGCACAAGCGTCAGCAAAAGCAGAAATTCTATTATGATAGAAGTGCTAAATATCACCAGTCATTTAATGTGGGAGATAGTGTTCGTGTGAATTTAGGACAAAATTGGGAACATGCCAGAGTGACAGATATTCATAATACGCCGAGGTCATATGAGGTGACTACTCCGGATGGACATTCATATCGTAGAAACCAACGCATGATAAACAAGTCTCCTGACTCGGTGCCTGAGTCGCATGTTATGGATACTGAACCATCAGATACTAGTATGAGTAAAACAGTGCACCAGAACAATGAAACTGGAAAACAAATTGCTCAGCCACAATTGTGTAGGCGTAGTACTGTTACATTTCAAAAAAAAAAAAAAAAAAACTTGTTGATTGTACACAGTGCCTGTAACCCATTTAAATGTCTGTGTGTAAGAAAGATACTGTTGAAAAGTACTGCACTGACTTTATGAACTCAGGAAGATTAACATTGACTGTTTACTAGAGGAGACATGTTGTGTTTAATGTTATTGCACTAATTATAAAATGCATTTTGCTGATCAGAGACAATCATAACAGAACTTTCTTTTATTTGTATTTTATTACTTTAACTAAGGTGGTAATACAATGTTTAAGATAAGCATGTGTATCACATTTTGTAGCTAGACATATAAGTAATTGGTAAGTGATTGTCTGTATGTTAATTAGTTTTTTTCCTTTAAAAGGGGGGGGGGGATGTCACATAGTGGTGCGTCATGCACATTGTGTAATATTATCCAATTAGAATAAAGCATGGCTGTGTGCTGCAGTTGAGTAATTTATAAACAACGTGTTGTCTGGTGTTCGCTCCTCCGCTCATAACATTACATCTTTCAGGTTGACAATTCCCTTCCTCAGTATTCTGATACTGACAGAGCTGATATCTGGTGGGTTTCAGTCAGGGATACAGAGAGATACCCTGCACTAAGCAAGATGGCCTTGTCTCTCATGACTTGCTTTCATGGGCCACAAGTAGAAGGAGCCTTTAATGTCATGGGAGACATTCTTCTAGCAGAGGTTACATTAATCGAAAGGAGAGAACTAGATTACTCCAAAATTATGACAATGCCTCCTCAAAATTTCTTGTTATGGGGTTTTTTCATTTCCTTCATAGTTCCCCTCCCCCAGAATTCAACAAAAAAAAAACTATAATTTGCTACTGACATTTCCCAGGCTTTGGATGAAAAGAATCAGGTTGAAGTTCAAGCAAGGTATGGGGCCCACTCCAAAACCCCCCTTTTCAATTTTTTTTAGATATCCCCAGTCGATGTAGCTTTAATTTCCCCTTAAAGGCAAAGCCCTGAGCCGAAGGCTACCAGCTAGACTGTTTTCCCCATGAAAAAAAAAAAAGAGAAGTGACCCAAATTATTATTGGGGTTTTACACTGCTAGGTAACAGGTAAGATCTTCTGGAATTTAATCTAATAGATTGACGAACTGAGTTAAATGATGTCATAAACGAGGCTCAACCAGGTTTCCAAAAACAAACTGCACTGTGAATAACATTTTATGCTACACACTCTGATAAGAAAGATGGGCAATGCATAATGGTATTTAGCCTATTCCTCATTCAGAATACATACACTCATCAGAACACTTAGCAGAACTAAAAAGACATTCTGAAGATTGTCAGTGAGGAGAAAACCTTTAAGATGCACTTAGAGGCCACCTAGATTTGACACAATAAGATACCATAAAATGTGCTAAAAATACCACACAATTCTCATTTTCATTGGTCATCCTAGGCTCCAACCCCAGCTGTAAAAATGAAGCTGTCTGCATTCAATCAGTTTTTGAGAAAGGGTGATTTGGAACCTATTCAGAGAAACCCGTTTTCCCCCCTCTTGAAAAAGTGACACCTTGTATCAAGAAGCTATATACACACATAAGATAAGGGATGGAGTGAACCTTGTGTTGGACTGCTTAGCTCCTAGCCAGGAGAATAATTTGAGACAACAAATTCAACAGCCAGAGAATCCTGAAGTCAGCGAAAGTCTCACACACATTCTTGTAGAATACTACCAGTTAACAGAATCCTCTAACACAAGACATCAGATTCTATCACTGTCAGAAGTTGATTTAAATTTTGATTTAATTGTGAAAATTTTGTTTATAATTACAATTATTATTAAACTTAATCATAGTGATAAGCTGACTTCACCAACTTTAGATCACACAAAGAGAGTACATACAAAGATATTGCAGAAAGGGAAGCACAAACGTAATGGCACAAATAAAATGAGAAAAAAAAGTATTAGATTCTCCTAAGATACATTCAAGTAATCAATATATATTTGCACAACAACTGTAAAAAATTTCCTAAGTGACACTTGGGCACTTAACAGAGCAACTTCCAAACATCAGCAAGGAAGCTACATTAGCCTATTGAGAACAGCACAATAGCAGGAGCTCTATGCTGATATCTCAAACATGGAGATGATGAGGACTAACTGGCAACCGTTACAGTTACTTAGATTTAATGAAAGATACTAAACTGCAAGAGAGAAATAACAGAATAAGTTGGAGAACAAATAGGCATAGAGTAGCCTAATCTTTTGGGACAAGGTCATATCTAGGCCTTAGAAAGAAAGTACCATTTCCAATCACAAAGAAGATTAGAGAGGATCCACAAGACCCTTGATAGCAAAATTAAATATGAAAAATTGAATAAAACATATCAAGTGGCCTTCTAAAATCCTGCCTTAAGCTTTGACTAGTGAGACAAAAAATTACCTTGAAAACTTAAATCCATTTGGTGTCTACATTGGGCAGGAAAATAATATACGGGAAAGGGATGCCAATTCACTGAAAGTACCATCATTTCAGTACCTTAAAAAAAATGACAGTAAAATATGACGTGGTTGAAAAATGCATTTTCATGTTTTTCTTCAGTTGCAAAATGCAGTGTGGATCTACAGCCAGTACTCAATAATTCTCAATAACAGAATGAGCATCAAGGTAAGTTCCTATCTGTTCACAGGAGTCTCTCCAGTCTTTTTACTTTGAGATCCAAAACACATTTTCTCTAGCTGTTCCGCATATTCCTTTTCCTCCTGAAAAAATATATGCATATATTGTCTGCTTGCTGATTTAATAACCAGGAGATTTGCAAGTTTAAAGATTTTAAATACAATTTTTTCACCAATTTTCACCCTTCAAAATACTTTACTAATTTGACTTGTACTAAAGAGGCTTAGGCTAAAATGAGCAACACAAGCCATTTCATCTGAGTAATAAAGCAATTTTAATACGATAATGCCTTCAACTTTGTCAAACAATATGTTACTACACTGTTACAGAATTGGTTTTTTATTGATATTTATCTACTCACCAAAAACTCTTCTTTTCCTGTAAGATATTCGATCCTGTTTTTTAACAATTCTTTCATATGCAACTCTGGTCTCTGACATTCCTCTATAGTTCTCTGATGCTCAGTTGCCAAGCTTAACAAGGCATTCATAAAATGTTCATGGTTATTATTGTGCTGTTCACTTAATAGTCCCACTAACTGTTCCACCATACCCATATCACACAGTGTATCTATGAAATAGAAAATGATTATAATTTTAATTGTCTTCTGATCTACTAGATTTCGTGTCAAATACATGTCATATTTTACCCTCTTCATTGGTTGACTATAATTACAACACCTGATCAACTGTAATGCTTAAATTTTCTATACAATGTGCAGAAATAAAATTTAATGTGATGATATACCTTTTATAAGACGGTTTTGCGAAAATAAACACTTTAAGAGAAATGTGGCTTTCACTTTTAATTTGTCATCTCCATCCTGCATGGCTCTCATTAGCACAGACAGTCCATTACTTTTCATGAAGGCAGTTTCTCCATCTGTGAAACCACGAACAAAACCTGCACAAAAACACAAAGGGTTAAGGTTTCTCACAAAAAATAAATAATAATAATTAAATGGTTTTAAACATCATCCACTTGCTGAGTTGATATAATGTGAGAACTAAGATCCTCTCAATATAGTGCTATTGACATAACGCATTAATTGAAGTGCATTCAAATTTCAATTTAAATTTGTTATAATAAAAAAATATCACTTAATTGTCACTTTACCTTCAACATATTTTCATTTCAAGCATATGCACCTTTAATTTTGCAAAAAATAAATAAATAAGCAAACAAACAAACAAATGTGTATATCCAATTATAATGGTAATTACTGGCTACACCATCATTGAAAATCTCTGCACAGGATGGCTCTTAGAACACCATATTTTTTAATCAAAATCCAGATTCTGAAAGCTGATATTTACATGACATAGCATATAGAGCTTTCACTTTTACTAGCACCACGCTATCTTTTTCCAATGTGTCTATGAGGAGTGGTAAAAGATTGGCCTCAAGTGCTGCTCTCTGGCAGTAAGGGTTGTTCTGGCAAAGGTTGGCTATCAATTCTGCACCTCTCCAACGGATGTCTGAGGAGTCATTGTGAAGAAGATGTGGCAAAAGGGCATAACCACCAATTTTATGAAAATCTGGAATCAAAATAATCATGAAAACCATTACTATTTTTAACTTCGCTATATTATCTTTTTACAAAGCATACTCTTTTTAATATTGCTCTAGTCCAAAAGAAAAATTTTTCCTTTAAAGGAGAGCTTTTTTTTTATAAATTTAGATCAAATATCTTTTCAGATTAGATCCCTCTACCTTGTGACAAGTCCATATCTTCACATAAAAAACACAATTTTTCCAGAGCTTCTTCTTTTTCTTCTATTTCATCTTCACTGTCCCCCTTTTCAATCAAGATTCTAATGCATTCTTTCAACTCTACAACTGGGTCTTCTGTTGCTGCTTTCATAGCTTCCTCAAGCCATTTTCTTCTCTAAAATGACAAAAGCTTTCAGTACAGATTTTGTGGTTTCCTAAACAGCATATATGACGATCTGTATATGTTGTGGTCCCACAAAACTGGTGCACACAAGTAGATTTCATAAATTAAATTATACAAATTGAATATCTGATGTAATGCATGTGCACACAATTTGAAAATACTAAAATAGCTTTTCTTTTTGAAACATACCTAATGAGCAATATTTGACTGTTAGTGTAACATCATATCCACCAACACTATAATATGCCAAAGCTCACTTTATGGGAACACCTTGGTGTCACCTCATTAATCTGCAGAGTCGATTAAACCGGTTGTAATCCCCCCCACCCCCCACCCCTTTCCAGTCCGGGCTGAACACTTTTTAGCCTAGATCGGACCTTTGGGTCAACAGTGCCAAAAGTTCTACTGACCTTAAGCAGGAACAGTGGATAGTAACAGACCAAATCGATAAAAGACAACGACAAAATGGAACTTATAGAAGTTATACCTCTTCCGACATCTCCTCGTATTTAGAAGGTCCAGTCGCATCTTCTTCTTTCGTTTGTTCTAGGCAAATTTTCAAAAGATGCCTCAGATCCGTGGGGTATATATTTCGATCAAAACCTTCTCCAGACATACTTGTAACGAACTCAATATCACTTATTTCGACCAGATTTTTGTGCACACAATGAAACTGCGGAAGTAACTGTGGAACAATCAAGAACTTTCTTCACACCAAGACGGCATGTTATTACTAAGTATCGATTGTGGGTACGTGAAGTGTAGCTGTGGCAATGTATTGATAATGCAATACTTATTAATTATATGTGTACATATTCAATAATTTAAAAGAATATAAAATAGACTTATATTTATACGTTTAGCATCAATTTACTGATTTACACGTAACATAGTTTCAAAAAATATTATAACGACATATCACATAAAGGTACTCATTCTTCTCCAAGGAGGAGACTGGGGGTGAACGTGTGGAAAACCGGTAGAACACATTTCATTTGCATGTTTTTTGAAGAATTCAAAGGATGACATCCAATTCAAACTCAGCAGATGTGAGTCAATACAACTGGTATTCATTTCGATTTATACAGTAATTGCATGCTTAGTGTCTTTGATTGGTAAATAATGATAAATTGTACGTGCTGTATGTACATGTAACATGTGCTTGCAAGTCGTAACATGGCATAAGATGCCCGTCCCCCGGATGCATGTACACTCAAACGTATGCTCTCACGCATGCACACACACATTCCCCTCCACACACATTACATATTGGCCAAGGGGACAGACAATTTTTTGTTTAATTAGTGTTTTATGTCGCAAGGCCTTCTCAGACTCAGTAGCAGTATGATGCTTTATTTCTTTTACTTTTACCATAACAATTATTAACAGTTCATTGTGACCACTGAAACTTTTAAACAGACTAGATCAGTGTTAAGTTTTTCATAGCAGCTATAGTACATGCAATGCAAGTATTAATATTAATAATAAAGCTTTAATCATGAAACATTTCTATTTAGGAAGACCAAATGAACATCATGATGGATATGGAAGGAAATGTTTACTTGCCAATAAACAAAACTTTTATGTCTAAAAAGGTATTTTCCAATCAGTTTAAATAATGTAGCACATATATGTACATGTAGTTTAGTATTTTAAAACTGCTTAGTAGAAAAGGTTATTGAGTGGAAGTTCATTTTTGCTTCTTGATAACAAAATACAATGTAGAAATTTTATGTCAATCTCCTTGTCAAGTATAGTCATTTATTTTTCAGGCCCGGATTGAGAAGGTGATGGTAAAGGGATTAAATAAAACAAAAGATGATATTGTCCTCAAACAGTTTCCAGGTGTCTTCACAGCAGAGAACTTGTATGAGGTAAATGTGCCTGTATGCCTTATAGACAGCTTTACACCTCAATGTATTTGAACAGAAATATTTTAACTCTATATTTTAATCTTGTTAATGAAAATAAGCCTAAGTGGAAAGTATAGTTATGGATTAAATTACAATATCATAACATGCGTTACTGTGTTATAGGTGTACAGGAAAGCCGAGGAAGCCCGTGAGAGACTTTTAAGACTGGATATCTTCAGTGCTACTAATGTTGAACTGGATACTGCCAATGGTATTATTTTGTAAATCACACTAGATAAGTAAGAGTTGTAGTTAAAGTGAATATCCATTAAGTATAATTTCACATATGTGATAGAAGTTAATAAAGATAAGTAATATGAAATCCTTACAAGTTGTAGTGCTGTCACAAATAAATCTACATAATCACCTATATGGATCCGCATGTCCACACATATGCATCTCAAGAAAAGTTGTTTTCTTTTCAGACAGTAGTAAGCCAGATAGTTATTCCTTGATTGTTAATGTAAAGGAGGGGCGTACAATGAATGGAGGAATGCACATGAATTCAGATCTCAATGGAAATATTACCCCAGTCAGTATATGCTAGCAAAAATTTGATATTTTTATTCAAGTGTTAATCAATACATAAGACTCTAATATGAATTTCAAGTTGCTCTGTAGGTCCTGTCAGCATATCCAAGATATGTTGACTGTTTCCAGTTTTAAATTAAATATACATGCCCACTGATTTGACATTAACAGTATTTTTTCATTGTGGTTTGTTTATCTGTCTATGTAAACCAGGATATGCAGATTCACTTTCGCAACCTGTTTGGCCGAGCGGAGAAGACCATGCTTGACTACCAGTTCTATTCTTATGGTGCTTCAACTTCTAGGATTAACCTCAAATTTACCAAACCTCTGGGAGGGGATCCTGATGTTTTGTAAGTGAATATTTTTTCATGTACAAACTGTATGACTTACTCTAAATGTTGTTAATTCATAAATTGTCAGATTGTTGAGATTTGGAAGTTATAACTTGACCTGATGCTTTTTTTTTTCTTAGATATTCTTTGGGTGTTCAGCAATACAGAGGAACACAAGAATGGGCAGGTTTTAAGCAGATTGACAGAGGGATTTATTCCGGTTTAATGGTACTTAAAAATATTTGATATATGTTAAGTAAATCATGATGTGAATCAAATTGCATAATGTTGCTCATCAGTTTCACTAATAAAATAGTCTTTGGCATTTATTTATTTGTGCATTTTGCATCTTGATATTTGTTTTGTTTTTTTTAAGTCATTTCAACAAACAACATTGCATTTTTAGTTCCCAAGTGCATTTGGTACACACACATTGCAGTGGAATGGATTTTGGAGGGAAGCCAATTGCCTGAATCACAAAACTTCTTTCCCTATACGAGAAAGTATGGGACATTCCATGAAAAGTTCCATATCAGTAGGTGTTCATTTTCTGAAAAAAAAATCAGTGATTGAAAAATCTGAATGATTGAAAATGTCTAATATTTTAGAGATTTTTTTCTACTGACAAGTATGCTGCAGTGTTTGCTTATTCTAATACAGTTAAAAGTTTGTGAGTGACATATAAATACCCCACTATGGTTTGTGCAAAGGTGTAATAAAGACAATTTGTACTGTCACTTAGGTCAAGATATTACTGTTGTAGAGAGCTGATCTCTGAAAGCTTGTATATATGACTCGGCAGGTTTTGCCATATCCATTTCATGGGCACATAAATCGTGTTTGGATGTAGTTTTTTCTTTTTCATTTGTAGCATACACTCATTAGAGACAGAAGGGGAACATCACCTTTTCCAAAAAGTGGTTACAGACTGAAAACAACACAGGTATGCATGCATGTGTGTGTGTGTGTGTGTGTGTGTGTGTGTGTGTTTTGTTATGTTCTCCCTTTCTGTCTCATTTGAAGTTAAGAATTCTCCACTTGCGTAATTGTTTAAAGTATGAATTGGCAATATTTATTTAAATTTTATTGAACTTTTAAATTTAGGAATATGCAGGAGTTGGGGGTGATGTCAAGTTTTTAAAGAATGAACTAGAACTAGAAATGAACAAATCTCTTCCATTTGGCGCAGTAAGTTATTTCTTCATTTACTTGAGCACTTTGTATCTTAAGAATGGTTTTATGATTTTGTGAAGCAGTACACGATTCACTTTCAAAATAAATATTGTTTCATAAAAATTGGAAAAAATCTTGAAAATGGCTGAAGATGTTGTATGTTGTAAATACATCTCTGACAAAGTAACTAAAATATGCTTTTGTCTTTATGGATTTATTATGTGGCACTATATTTAATATAAATTAATGTCCTTTTTTTTCAATAGAAGGTTATTTATTACAAATAAAAACTACAACTTTTAATCCAAATTTCAGAGTTTACAGCTAAATATCGGTAGTGGTGTGTTAAGGTCATTAAATGGCACAGCAGTCAAAGTTAGTGACAAGTACTTCTTGGGAGGACCACTCAGTTTACGAGGATTTAAAATCAATGGTGTGGGACCAACTAGTGATGGTAAGAACTATTCTGTTAATGCTTTCTTGTTCATATTAGACCAAGTGAATAGACATTACTGTACTTAAATACAATTTGACATATATTGACGTCACACAATAAGTGTATTGAAACTTAACTAGCTTGATAGTTCCAGTACAAAAGTCTCAGAATTGTATTTAAATTATAAATCTGATTTTTTACAGGGAATTCACTTGGTGCTAATTCATATTGGTTAGGAGGGTTGCATTTGTACACACCACTGCCATTCCTCCCCAACCTTGGAGGGATTGGGAAACATATCAAGACACACTGTTTTGTTAATGCAGGAGGATTAGTCAATGTGGATTTCAGTATGTATTATTAACAACAAGCCAACAGAAAGCATGCAAGTACACTACCCTCTTCCAGGGCCACAGATTGATTTTTCACTACACATTAACAGATATGTCTCTGGTTAAATAGATGTCTAATATCTGCACTGTGACCCTGTTCTGAAATCTCAAATATCCCGCGGCGTAATTACTGGCAGCGCGAGCCAGTTACTTCCAAAGCTGTAATTAATTCTCCGCTGTGCTCGGAGGAGATTCTGATACCTTGACGCATGCGCAGTAGGAAGTTAGAAAGTTAATGGCGATTGCGGTTGCTTTGAAAAATGTGTTTGTCGATTTTGTGCAACAACAAGACGAAGAAGATGAAGAAGCTATACACACGACAGATACGAGTGCAACCATCATGATCCGATGGCAAGCGATGCGGCAACGGGGGATGAGATTTTATAGGATGCGAGCACAGCCGAGAATTAATTACAGCTTTGTGTAAGTAACTGGCTCGCGCTGCCAGTAATTACGCCGCGGGATATTCAGGGCACAGACCGTGATCATAAGATACCGCGAATAGAAAATAGATTTTTAGAAAATAGACTTTCCATGTGAACGAAGCCTAAGTATTATTTAATCAAAAAAATGTTATCTTTGGCTATACTTCCAGTGGTTTTAACCTAATCAGCTTCATTATATATGTAACCAAATTCTACATTTATTGCAAATCAAAAAGAGCCAAAGCAACAAACTTGCACTCTCTAAGCTTGTATATGAATGAAAAATTAATGGCAGAAAGAAATATTACTCAGAATACTTTAGATTTAAAAAAAAATTGAAAAAGGTTGGACACGTGGAAAACCTTTTTTTTGAAGGGATATAGTACTTAAACCATCTATATACATCTGTATATGTATGTGTATATACAAGATGCAAAAGTGTATGTTGGGTTGATGTGTGTGGGTGTATTAAAAATCGGAGATATGATTATTGTGTATTTCAAATCGGATACATAATAAGTAGTTGCCATAAACATACATAAAAAGATTATTATGTGATATGTTTTTATATGGCAAACAAAAGTGTAAAACATACACAAAAGCAAATCAAACAGATACAGTTTTTGTTATATGTGCTAATGTTAACAAGTCCATGCTTCTGTAAGGTTATTTACTTAGTTCTTTATACCTTAGTATTATGGGTGATAGGTTTTGTATTTTCTCTGATAGTCTGGTCTGTTAGTACTTGCTTAACTTGTGTATTCTGATTTTGTATGTATGCTACTTTGATTGAAAAAAATTATCTATTAGTCAAATACAGGTCTTCTAATGTTTATTTAGAAAAAATGTTTGTTCTACTATTATACACATTTTGCCTTGGCAGAGGCCTGTGTTCTTAGAGTATTAGATAAGTTTTTGCTTATTTTGACCTAGTACATGTAGCTGAAAAAAGCAAAGCAAATTTTAATACCCACCTTTTCTTCAGCTGTAATGTATGTTTAGTTCTCTTTGCATATTCCTTTGTTGTTGATTTTGGTAATCACACTGTCATTTAATTTTACGCATGTTATGACCAAGAAGCCTACATTAAAAAAAGTATCAACCAGGTCATGGTCATCTTTTCTTCAATTACAGCAATTCAGTTTTTGTCAGAAGGTAATTACACAATCACTGGGTCTTCCAGAAAACGGTCAGATATTCAAGTTTACAATGATGGGTATCTAACTGAAGATGGTCAAAAATAGAGAATGGATCAACAAAGATAATGTGGAAGACTGTCAGAAAATATGTATAGATCTGCCCCTGATATTGAATTTAAATTGAAGATTATTTAAGTTTTATTAATTAATTGATTTTTTAAAAATTTATTTCAGACCAGAACTGGGAGCAGATACTGCAGAAGTACAGAGAATCTCCACGGGTGTCATATGGTGCTGGTCTAGCCATGCAGATATCACTTTTTAGATTGGAGTTAAACTACTGTGTACCAGTTAAAGTCCAGCCAGGAGACAAGTAAGTATAGTGTCTGTCATGGTTCCCTACCTAAGGTTACATACTTAATTTTCATTTGAAAAAAATTATAAGCTCTTAAAAAGATTCAAAGGGTACTTTTTAGTGGTTTAAAGACTAATTTAAAGATCTTAGTTATTTGACTGTTTTGGAAAATTGATAGCTAATTTACAGGTATATGATGACTTCATAGATCAAGCCTTGTTGTAAATTGTGAAAACATCTTAAGGGATAAAAGTGGGTCTTCTTATTTTGGGATTTAACTCCTTTTCCAGTGGAAATGACATTTCAGTAAGTTTTATCAAAGGTTAAAGATATTGAATTTGTGTGTTTGGACTTTTATCCTTTATTAGAATTCCATGTCAACTTTTCTGTAGATAATTTGTTACTAATAAAAAATGGTTCTCTTTCCAGTGTGAATCCAGGGCTTCAGTTTGGAATAGGTATCAAATTTCCATAGCTGTCAATTGTCAGCGAAGTGTGCATACAATAATGACTTTTATATAACTACACTTGTATGGAAACCACAGCATTCCAGTTTTAAGATCTTTATGTGACTGTGGCATCACTATTTTGTAAATCAATGCATTTTGATTCAAAGTTTGCAAAAATAATTTTTTAACAGAAGCTATACACTGTCTTTATTACACATTGCATTTATAATTGATATATATATCTTACAGCCATACATTTAGTAGAAACCTAATTAAACATAAGAATATGACCCAGAATATTATTTATACCTTGCGGTTTCCAATCAATTTTGGTTATTCCAATAGCAATCTTTCCATGGATTTGATATTTACTCTACCAGACCTTGGGCCCATAACATAGCAAGGTGAGACTATGGCCACAACACTGCCATTTGCTTGTGAAATAAAGCCTATTAAATAGAGGTTTGTCCTTTTGCCTCTTCTTTTCTGTATAAAGTGGAAATGTGTTTTAGGTCTTTTTCTAATTTTTAAATTACATAATTTATAAAGTGTTGAAGTATTTGATGCTGCTCAGTATGCCCATGTGCACTAACAAATTAAAGACGACCTAATAAATGCCAATCACTTTAATTACAAGCAAAGGTAAAATTGCTTTGCTTGCTCAAACTGGTACATTAAACATTTTAGTATTCCACCTTTCACTTCTTTTTGTCATTATTTTCATGCCCTTGTGTGTGCAAGGAAGGGATTACAAAACCTTTTTTGTCAACTGCCATTTAGATACCTAGTAAAATGTTTTATGCTTCTTATGAAAAATTATATACCTATTACCAAGGGTCAGTTTGTGGATGTAGTCAGCAGCTCTCAGGTTTTAAGAAATTGAATATATGTTGGTAAGTGAAGGCCCATATTTGTGAGTGAAGGCATAAAACATCTTACCAATTAAATTTTGATTTAGAAAAAATGTTTACAGTTTTTGAACTAAAGAAGGGGTGAAGTTGGCATTTGTCTTTAAAGGAATGGGAAATTCATCTTCCTTAAGAATATTGTCATCCTTCCCCCAAAACTCTATTTACTGCCCTACATACATGTACATCCATTTGGGTAATAGATAAATCTTCAGTGTCCAATGACTAAAATATTTACATCTGTCATCGTACAGGTGATGTCATGATTGCCATTTTGGGGGAAAAAACTGAAAAATCAGATCTCCAAATTTCTCTTTTACCTGAGCACCCACAATCACTGTTTCAATGCTGATTTAATGACACCATTTAGTATTCCAAACCCCTACCAGTGATTTTTCTCAAAAGTCTTAGTTCAGATTTCATAGTTAATAAAGCAAAATAATGCCTTGGTGTAATGAAAGTCTGTAATAAGGGGCTCATAACTCCATAACAAAAACATTTAAACCAAAATGATGGCATTGGATTGCAGCCCATTCACTCATGGTCAACTCCACCAATTTTCGAGGTTAAATCTTGTTCAGGGATGAAGTTACACCCCATTCTGATTGCTGTCTCATTTCAAAATAGGAAGGTGTTAAAATGACGATAAAAGCCTAGAGTTGTCTATGCTTATACATTGCAATGAGAACTAGAGGATCAGAGAGGAGATACCGCCTCCAGGTATGGTACCACCAGCTAGAGTAAGCGCACAGGTATGGAAAACCAAAAAAAAAAAAAGGGACACCACCTCTAGTGTTGTGTTTGACAAGCTCTACAAAAAGCATGTAAACAAAAATTCTCAATTTTTTTTAATTGCAATTTATAACAAAAGCGTGGGGAAAAGTAAAAGGTCAAACCTAGGGTTGCAGTAAGAGTATGATCTTCAGTTAGCCATTTGCAGTAATTTATCCCATAATTCCTTTGGTTTGGCAGCATATATGACATGGCAGCATATATCACAAACGAGTCAGGTCCAGATCAAAACCATGTGTACTGCCAGCGCTGCGCTGGTGGTACAAATATAATTGTCGATATTTTATATTTTCATGGGTATTTATTGTTTTAAATCAGCACAAAGATAGATGCATTATTGAATATTAAGATGCAGGAAAAATCTCATTTTCCATATATTGATAATGAATACCCTTAGCAAAAGATTGCAGCAATACTGCGGCACAGTTGCAGCAAATTTGCTGAAAACTAAAAAATGTGTATTTCTGCAAATTTGCAGCAAATATGCAATAACAACTGAAGTTTGCAGCATGAAAGCATATTCTGGCAAATTACAACTGAACAACTGAAGTTTGCAGCAAGAAAGCATATTCTGGCAAATTAGCAGCAAATTTGCAAGATCAAACTTACTGCAAACTTAAGCTACTCAGTAGCTTAAGCACTTGTTTAACTTATTGACAATTAATGAACAGTGAATGAAGGCAAATCTGCAGAAGTGGCGCATTTGTTAAATCATTGACGACGTTGGAAAATAATCTTTGACACAGTACCGGTACCTTGTTTTTTAACAAGTCTGCATCTTCGCACACAATGAAATTATAAATCCTTTTTGTCTCATAAATCGTTTTAAATGTAAACACGAATATTTTCATAATTTTTTTTTATTATTTTTTTCATTTTAAAAAAATTAACTTCAGGGCGAAAAATGCCACCCAATCAAGGCTCGTGTCTCCCATGTCTTACAGTAAGTGAGCTTACAACGCAGTGCGTATGCTCACGTCGGAGCCCGCCATGTGCATTTGTTATGCGCAGTGTGACGGTGAAACGAAGCATTTCTGCGCAGATCAGACATCACTCAAACTTGAGTAGGAGCGCGTATCTGCTGTTAGCTAAGTGACAGTGGGAAACATGATGCAAATACACTTTAGTCAAGTATTTTGAAAATAGACTCATGTAGAAAGTAACACACCGCAGATGCATTGTTTGGCATACGCTTTGTCTTCCAACGTATATAGATCAGACGCAGTCGACTTCGAGAGCTCTCAGGGAGAAATTGACAACTAAAGATGATGGCGGGGCATGAAATCTGGGTCACATATTCAGTGATGGAAAAATGAAGCAATTGATCTTATTCTTCATTTGTATGAAGATTGTTGCAAGCCAGAATGTCGGTATGTATATGTTTGCCTTAAACCTAATATTATTTTTTTTATCATTTGATAGTTACTCGTCAGCCATTGGCACTGCTTCAACATGGCACAAGTACAGTAGTAGCAGGTCATTCGGTGCAATGGTAGAGCTAATTAGCTCATTATTCAAAACTATTTTGTAAAAAATAAGTAATTAGCCGTGTCTCTGTGACATGTAATTTTACGGTAAGGCAGCAACTTTGAATCATGTGATGTACGTTTGTTCAGAGCATACTTTTCTGGTTATTCTGTTGTGCTACAACCTGTAAAAGTTAACTGCAGTACTCTCACCTGGGTCCCTCCCTTCCCATTTAGGCAACTCCCTTTTATGGCTCCAGTTCCATTCCATTTCAAATTTATGGTCAAATTTAATACACATCATGTTTCTGGTTTTTTATGAGATTATAAATGTACATCTGTATGGATGAAAGATTTTCTTTTCAGTTATTATGTGTAAATTTGAAACAATCTGCATCACTCTGCTAGAAATTCAGATGGAAACTTATGACCAGGGGCGTAACCAGAACTTTTAAAACTGTACGCACAGATTTTGAAAATTCCCAGGTACGATTATATTCCGTGAAAAATACGCTAAATTTATGGAGAATAACATCATGGTTGGCTCAAAAAAATTGTACGCACAGTGCATCCGTGCGTATGCCTGGTTACGCCCCTGTTATGACTAGATACTTGAAGTCATTTTATTGTTTATTTTATTTAAAACTTAATTTCCTTTAGATGTCATGTTTAAGTATAAAGTGAATGAAATATCTTTTATAGTACATGTGCAAATTAACAAATGGTAAACATTTGTATATATTTCATAAATTCTTTTTTTTACCTTAAATTGCAATTATGTAAGTTGTGAATTGATATTGGAGAAACAACAGAAAATTACCTAATGCAAATTGGTAATCCTGGATTACTTAAGAGGGTTAATTTTTACCTCATGATAAAACATTGAACTGCAAGTAACTGTTGAGTTTGTTCTAGAAAGAAGAAAGACAATAACTGACATAATCTAAATGAAAGTATATTGTGCAAAATTATACATTCCTGAATGAGATAGAGCAAAATAGCTCCCTTTGTGTGTATTTATGAGGTGGTTGCTATCTTATGTAGAAAATCTTCTGTGGCACAAAACTGCCAACATTTTTGAAGAAAAAAAAAAGAATATCAGAAAAAGAAGCTTATCCAAAGAATAAATGCAAGCAAATGCATTTCTGAATGATTTGATGTGGGGCATACATCTGCTTTCTGCATTAATCAGGATCTTAACTACATTGGCTCGGTTGAAGAAAAACAGTTTAAGTGACTTGATATTATATCCCATGGCCAAATGTGTACTTGTTCATTAAATGATCGATCAATACACACTCAGAACTGCCCCTGTTATTGTGACAAATATGTGTGTGGGTGTCCCCTCCATAGAACAGCTAACCATTGTTTGTCACCAAGTGAGTGAGTGACAGCTACTGAATGCAGGAAGGAAAACCACAGGGATGTTTGTCACCAGGTTAAATCATGCTCCACCTTTGTGAAAATACTGGTTTAGAACTAGAGTTTTGAAAACACTAGTACTGATGTAATTTTATCTGTACAGGGTGTGCAAAGTTGGAAACCCATGAAGTAAACAAATTTTGCGTAGTGTAGGAGAAAATGAAAAGCAGCTTTCAATCTGTCAGGTGTATGTGTATGCAAGATATCAGGTGTTTGTAGATATCTCTTCAGCATTATACTATGGCACAGGAGATTGAAAAGGAAGTAACATACAGAAACTGTTAAGATATTGATCTATAACATCAACTGCCTTAGCAAAACTTGTTTTTCTTGCCACCAAAGGTATCTCCCAAAATCTGATTGTATAAACCAATTTCCAGGTAAATTTGGTAAAATATCTCTATTTCACTATATCTGGGGACTGTGAGTCTAGGAGTTAATAAGCTTATATTAGCTTTTAATACACGCACATCAGGCTCCTAATTCTAGATCATCTAGACCACCAAGCTTGAGTCATTAAAATCTGACCCACCAGAGAATTAGAAATCCCAGTCAGTTTTGAAGGAGGGAAAAGGGCTAGAAGACCCACATAAATTTCTTAGCCTACAATTTTTTTCATCAAGTTCAAAGGATCTACGTGGATTTCAGCTTTGAAAAAAGAGCTCTTATGTAGTTCAGGATTATGTACAAGTGTGGTATTGTTATGCCAGACTACACTTTTTGGTTTCAGTCTCTCCTTTGCATTAAGCTAGCATGAGATGTCCTGAAGGGTTTCACACTTTGTGTTAAGAACACTGTTGTGCTTTTTCACTAAAGAAGAAAAAGAGTTGTTATTGTTAGCTTGGAATACCACTTGTTCATTTGGGAACGTTTATAAAATCAGCAGAAATAAGAGATGTGGTTAAAAAAGAAAGAAATAGAAGGACTCGTTTAGCATTTCCAACATCTGGTTTTGTTGATTTAGTTGACAAGTGATTACTCAGACAGATCATTAGGAAGAGAGGCTTTGAATATTACCAATCAAAATGGAATACCCAGGAGTGGTGTATTATCCTCTGGCATTGAATTGTACTGTCATTCCTGACACTCCTATTTATCTAAGCAAGGGAGCAAAAATACTCTTTTTGGTATTCTTTTTTTGTTTCTTGTATATTCAAGTTGTTTAGGTGGAACAATTGTCTTTCTACACTGCAAGTTATGTGAGAGATATTATTGTAAATATGTGTGAAGACTTTAGAGAGAGGTGTTATTGCCCGTTAAGTGTAAATTTTATTTCATGTAAAAAATCCATTTTATAGCTTTTTGTTTAAATAAAGAAGTGTTACAAAGAATTTCGGTCAAATCTTACCATGGAATACTGTAGTCTTTTGGATAATTTATCCATTTATTTTAGTACATTATTTTGAATGATTGTGACCTAACAAGTATGGTAATTGATTGATAACTGATATGTAACTTTGGTTGTAATCAGAAGCAGCTGTTGAAATAAAACTTAAAACTTGTCCAGAGATCCTGACTGACCATATGATTAAAATTAAATTTCTAAATTTAAGTTGAATTTAAAAAAAAAGGCACCTCGATGATGGCGTAAGTGTCCATAGAAATCTATCCATGTATAACTTGTCTTTTCAAGTTTTATATTTAGTCTGATCATGTTATCTCAATTTTAAAATAATTTTTGTATTCTTGAAATAAACTTAGATTAGTAAAATGTTCATCAGGCAATTTGACAATTTTCATGAATACTTCAGAAAATTATATTTTGCTCAGAGTTAAAGGTAGACCAGTGGTCTAACCCTGTTTTGTCATAAAAAATGTCTGCAGTGAAATTCTTTTGAATTTTTGTTGCCTCTTTTTTTCTTCTTTATGTAAGATTTATAACAAAGAAAATTGTCTGAGGCCAGTTGGCACAAGGGTGGACGTGTTGCCAAGTGCCCCATGGCCAGTCAGAATTTTTTTTTATTTTTTTTTTATTTTTACAAATTAAGATGAGTGAGACAGATTACCCTTATGTATTGCCATAAAATGCTGCTCCTATTCACTAAAAAAACTTTGCCAGTTACAGTCACAAAAGAGTCAGCAGTCTTGAACTAGATAATTCTTTTGAGAGTCTTCTTAAGTGGTGGAAAGTTTGTCATGGATCAAGTAATAGTAATTAGTATTTATGGTAAAGATGAGGGCTGGTAACTTGTGTATGTCATGTTTTGTATTATATTATCCCTAAGGTTATAAGCAGCTAAATAGATTTGAGGGGGGGTCAGTGCTCAGAGCAAATGTCACTTGTTTACAGGGCAACAAGGATATCAGTTTGAAGTTTATTACCAGTGTAAGTGACGCCAAGCTCACAAGAGTATAATGATTGCTATTTTTTTGCATCATGCTGTCAGCATGCTGTCGACGTCAATTGCTGGGACAAAAAAATGAAAAAAGAAGAAAAAAGGCAATAACATCCTTTCCAGATCTTAGATGAATGCTTCAAGAAATATTGAGAATTAATAAGTGAAATGTAGTTTATCAAAAAAAAAGAAATCGGTTCTTTTTTTTTTTTTTCATTTGTGTAGTTAACACAATTTGATGCACCTTTCTTTATTTTCTATTTTTTAAAATCAAAACAATTATTAATCATTAAACTGTTGCAAAATGGCAGATTTTATCTCAATAAGTTCTCATTAGGTGCTCAGTGTTGCCAGTGTTCATGTTGCATGCATAATTTCTCTCTGTATGGTCTATAAGATGGCTGCATTAAGTTTGGTTATAATGTAACATTGGTGTTTTACAGGCCTGCGTTGACTTCTTTTACATCGTGGAATCTGCTGTTTTTAATTATGTAAATTTTGCCTTTAATTTATGAATTTTATTTTGATTTGTTTTATTATTATCATTTTTTAATCATTAAAACATTTTGCTTCACATAACCAGGCAGTTAAACAAGTTGGGTGTAAAACTTAAAATGTACCAATGAGTAAGTGGCGTGAACTAATAATTTTGATTTTGCTCCAATTTTAGGTCCAGTGATAACTACCTCACCCCAGAACAAAACTGTCTTGATCACCTCTGTCTCCCAGCTCACCCTTCACTGTGCTGCTACAGGGAACTCTACAGTACACTACTCATGGCAGAAAAATGGAACTTTTCTTCACAACTATGGCTCCAAATATAGGATCCTGCCATCAGGAACACTCAAAATCCGCCATCTCTCCCTCCGTGATACTGGCTGGTATAGATGCTTGGCCTCCAACAGACAAGGAGAGGTTTACTCTCCATATGTTCTCGTGTTGGTTCAAGGTAAGGTTTTGATGAGACATGGTCACATCAAATCTACACAACATAAAATGATTTGTACAAATTGCTCATTTTTCTGAATAGTTATAACAATCGAATAAAGCTCTGCCTCAAGAATTCTCAAATATGAATAGACTCTCTGTCAGTTAATAGTTCTGTTCAAGCACTTGGTACCCTGAGTAGTGTATACTATGACAAATCTTCCTGAAATATCAATTCAGATAGTCCTACATTATGTCATGATTCCTATGATTAAAATCACCAAAAAAATGCACATATATATGTCGCAATCCATATTGAAATCCAATCATTTTTTTAATCGACCTAGACCCAGGCAGATTTTGTATCATCCTTGGCCAACTATAATCCGACTATGCAAGATTACTACCTCACCAAATAAGATTAAAATTTCAATATTACAGAAGAAGTGTTGTGTGAATGTCATCGTAAACATAGTAAAATACATTACATGTGTTTTTACCTTTTGATTATCATTAATTCACAAAGTCAAGATTATCAGAACCATAATATTTAATTCACAAAAATCCTGGTAAAGTTATTCCTTAAAAAAGAAATTCCTTTATTTCAAGCTAGAAAAAAAAGCCTTGGTGACTTATAATTAAAATTAGAAATTAAAGTTTTGAGACAAAAATGAAGATATGTATTTTTTTAATTAAATCAAATCCAGCAGTGCACAAAAGTATTAAGAAAGGCTTAAATTTGTTCACAGTTGAACTAGTAGGTACATTTGCATTATTGTCAGCTGAACCATTGCCCAATAGCTGCCTGCTTCCACCCTTCCCTACCCCACTTCTTCCCTTTCTACATGACTGTGATGCATAATGAGTAGCCTTTTTGCTAATATTATTGAGGTGTAAAAGGTTTCATCCCAGTCTCTCTAAACCAAGCATATAAAACATGTTAAAGCATTAGATTAATTAATAGCACCTCCCTCAAACCCGTTAATGTAAGCATTTATTTACCTGCCAAGAACAGTGAAAGGAAGCAACAATGGGAGAGGAGAAGTACACTAGGGCTGGGATTGAGTGCATGCTGTTAGGTAAACAGAGGCCTAGATTACCCCAGGACTTGTTCCAGTCAGGTCAAGACTCTCCCTGGATCCCTGTGATGGCTCTGCTTATTAAACAATATAACCTTGTTCATCTTAAGTAACCTCTTCCCTGTTCTGTTGGGGTGAAGCATTTTGGAGTACATACATAATTTTCAGTTTTTTGAGCTATTTAATTCTTGGCCACTTGTTGGAGAACCCTATTGCAGAGCTCTATTTAGTGACTATGAGTGAAAGGTGTTTTCCATATATGTGCAAGACTTTTTGGAAAGAAAAAGAAAAAACATGGAGTACTTCTGTCCTCAAATTTAATTGACTGAAAAAAAATCCACTTGACCAAAATGAAAATTATTTTAGGTATATTAGATAGAGATTGCATAAGATATAACATATTCTGCAGTGTGTTTGTGCGTGCATGTGAGTGATATATATATATATATATATATATATATATAGTACAGTAATACTATGCAACAAAAATAGCCTGTTACTGAGTCTTTCTTGTTGTTAATCAGCACTTCAAAAATGTTTGTAATCATTCTCTTATATGATATACTCTTAACAGGCTTCCCAAACAGTTACAGTACACAACCAGGGGACATTGACATGAACTCCAAAACTATTTTATTTTCTGGTTATATTGTGGTTTTTTAGTTGTTATCGATGTTCCCTAGTTGTATGTGTCGTAACTGTTTTGAAGGCCTGATTTGGAATGTTGTTACCAGTGATGGAACTTTTCTGTAACTCTCCCTAAGGATAAACAATTGCATATATGATAAACATACTGTCAGTGTGTAAATGTTGAATATTAGCGCATAAATTAATATAATTTTCAGCCCCAGCTGAAATCGTTGATGGACCAAAGGATCGTAAGGTGTGGTGGGGAACTGTTGTGCGATTGCAGTGCCGTACTGTGGGTAATCCAATGCCTCACATTCTGTGGCAAAAGAATGGTATACCAGTAAGTATTCACTATTATATATAAATATATTGCTTAATATTGATTTGCCTTGTTAATGTCACGACTGGGGATTCTAGAACATTTCTTTTAGCATTGAAATTTGGGATAAATTAACTTTCATTGCAATTCTATCAAAGTACAGTATGGTAAGATTGTTAAGTGCAGAATAAAGAGACCCAGTTGCACTTAGTGCATCTTTGACATATCTGTTTTTCACTGTTTTATACATATGAGGAAAGGGTGTGGCACTTATTGAAGAGCCATACCTCCTTTGTGTGGTTCCCAATTCAAACTTCCTTTCTGTTTAATGCTAAAAATGAAGTTCCCTAAAATGTGGGTTTTCCTCAAGATGTTTTGCTGTCATCTGGAAATATTCATCCTTGAGCCTGCCCCTTGCTTGCACATGTGCGTAAAAATGAAAGGTTGAGTCAGTGCCTAATGGCTGTGAATGTTAATATAGCTGAGTAGATTATTTACAAGGTAAATAATTCTATTGTGTTTTTTGATGTCAAGCAGACCAGTTAGTTAGCATATGTGTGTCATAATAATATTAGTAGAGATAAATTCCTCCCAGATACTTGTTATTACAAGAAGCTACTGATGAAGTCTGTATTTTCAAAGGTTATTTTTGTAGGCATGATGGTTAAGGGGATGGGTATTTAATGTGTGTGCGGTCAGTTTAACAGGTGAATGGACAACTCCCCTGAGTTGAATTCAAAATTGCAGTTTTTTTTGTAGCAGAGATAATGAAAATTTCTGACTGATTGTTTAACTATTAACTTTTTGTCTATAGGATAAAAAAAACTTATAGAAAGATGGTAATTATTGTGAAATAAAAACTCAGCATCATATAATGCAAGAACTTCCATATTGTTCTGCAAATCAGTTTGCTGAATAAGCCAGCACTTAGTCTGCATGTTGTAGGCTATCAGCGTTTTTCCTCTCTGCTGTAGATCCCTGCATTATACATCTGCTGACCTTGTGCTTTCATTCATTTCAGCTATGTTAAACAAGGTTAATTCTGATGCCCTTAGGAAAACCTGTCGCCTTAAACAGTTATGACTGCAATGGCATTGACTGATTTGAATTTTTTTTCATTAGGAAAAAAAATGTATCTCTTAAATCCACTAGTTCTGTTACTAGGTCCCCAAAGGAAGATCTGTGATAAATTTTTTTCTTCTTTCTTTTGTGACCCACAATAATACTATTTTTCTTCATGTACTTACAATTTAATGATTGGCTTTATCGATAATTGCATGATGATGACATATTACTTACTGACGTGACTAGAATTTTGATGTCCAACAACCACATTTTTCTGTAAGTCAAACTGTTAGACCTCAGGGTGATTTTTTCCCCCTACAATTTGTGACATGCAGAAGTCAGTATCTTATGGTTTAAACTTGCATCTTGGCTAAGTAGACAAAATTTTTTTTAATGTTTAACATTTTTTATCAACAGTAAGTTAGTTCTCTTTTCATTTTCAATGAAAAACAAATTTTGATTTTAGATTATGAAAAAT